TCTCTCACCTTAGACTAGACATGCCTTCAGCCACCCTCCTACCTTTCCCTGCCCTCCACCTTCCCTGATCCACACCTCCCCCACCCCCTCTTCCCCTTCTCGGGTCCAAATCCCTGACTGTCCAGGGCCTTGGGACGTGCATCTTCCAGTACACAGCTTGGACACATTCCTATCCATTAATCAATCGTTCGAGTAGAGGTGTGGAGTTTGAGCTTCTGCTGGTTACTGCTCAGTGAGAGAGGATGGGGAAGAAGAGGTACAGAGAGTGATATACAGTAAGAGATGAGAGAAAGAAATACAGAGAGTTAGAGATAATAAGAGAAGAATTTGATACAACAACTACTACCTGCAATCATATAGTGCCATTCACGAAGGGTAATGCTTAACAGTGAGGGATGTGACTGGTGTGAGGGGTGAAAGTGAGTGCACAGGTGGTGGAATTTTGTAGCAGTTGGATTTTGTAGATATTGGAGCTGGGAAGAAGGGCGTTTAAATAGTTAAAGCAGGAGGTAACAAAAACATGGACGAGGGTTTTGGCTGCGTTGGGAGTGAGATACCGTCAGAGGCAATGTGACTGAGGTGGAGCAATGCGGTCTTGGATAGGGACCAGGTGTGGGGTAGGAAAGACAGCTGGGGATCAAACCCGAGGCCTAGGTTACATACAGGTTCAGTACATTTTAGAGATAGACCGGGGAGGTTGAGGAGGTCAGAGTCACAGGAGAGAAGACTTTGATGGGATGCAAGGAGAACGGCTTCCGTCTTGTTGACATTCAACTGCAGGAAGTTTGCGTTCATTCATGTAAATGAGGAAACAAAGGGGGCCAAGGATGGAGCCTTGGGGTACACTGCAGGTGACCATTTGCGGAGACAAAGTTATAGTGGTTGGTTAAATAGGGCTCGAACAAGGAGAGTACGTCCCACTAAGGTGGATAAGGGAGGAGAGGCGGTGGAGGATGGCATGATCGACTGTGTTGAATGCAGCGGAGAGATCCAGGAGGACAAAGAGGCAAAGGGATCCCTAGCCACGGAGAGAGAGGACTACATTTGTGACTTTGACGAGAACTGTCTCTGTGGGCAGGGCTGGAGGGGCTCAATTCAGGAGTAGAAGGGGAGGTATGAGTAAAGTTGATGTGCAACAAATGTTGTGGAGTCCTGTAGCTCAGTGGTTAGAGCACTCGCTTTGCAAGTGAGAGACCTGAGTTCAATTCCAGGCAGAGGGCGAAACCTTGGGCAAGTTTCCTTACTCCACACGCCTAATGATAATCCCTCCAAAAACAATAATAAAAAATTGGTCATTTTCAATCTACAACTGTTTGTGGGACATTGCTGTGCGCAATTGGCTGTCGCGTTCACCCACAAATATACAGTCAATTCACTTTACAGTATATTCTGTGAAGCGCTTTGGGACGTCCTCCCGACGTGAAAAGCGCTATATCAAATGCAAGGATTATTATTATTATTATTATTAATGTGTTCAGCAAGGGAAGGCAAGTTACAAATACTCAGCAAGGTTCAAGGGATCGAGAGTGGATTTTTTGAGGAGGGGAAAGATGACAGCAGTTTTGAGGGGGAATGGGATGGCACTTGAGGAGAGGGAGTGATTGCTGTGGGGGGCAGAGGAGGGAGAGTTGAGTGACCAGCAGCTCGGTGGGGAGGGGAATCAAGGCAGCGGGTGGTGTACTTCGTGTGGGTGATGCTGGTTGAGAGGAAACAATGTGGTCAAAGGAGTGTAAGGTGGGGGAAGTGTTGGAGCCGTGGTGGAAGGAGTCGGTGATGTAGAAGACATGGTGGGCGTAGGGTGGGGGAGGTGCTCGCAGACACGGGGGAGAAAGAGGAGGCAGGATTATTTACATTGATGATAGAACGTGAACCCTGAAACCCTCACACAGCTTTTAGTTAATCATGCATCATTTTGGGAAAAGGAACAGCCTATGACTTCTTGAACTAGTATTAAAACAATCTAGATATAAATGTTGTAAAAAGTGCTTGAGAATTACATTTACATTGAATCTCAGCTCCCAAGCATATGGTAAGGCACAGAGCCAGTTCAGCAAGATGCAATATTTGCTGCAAATCCTGTCCTAAGGAATTTGTTATAATTCCAGAGTATGCGAGAGGCTACACAAAGGGAAATTCATTAGATCTCTTTGACTTGTGGTTTTCACAAGCGCCTTGCAGTATTGCACTGTTACTTCTAAAAATATTCTGTGTGTGAATGTGACAAGGTCACTGTGCAGAATTCAGACTCAGTTTTCTCTTATAGCATTCAGTGCAGTTGCTTTTGAAGGATGAGGCTTTCTTTGATGTAACCTGCATCAATTCATCTTTTGAATAAGGCAGGTTTATTTTTAAACCTTACATCTCTAAACTGAAATAGAATTTATCTTTAGGAGATTGCTATTTTTGGTATGGCGATAATTAATTTTACAGACAAATTTAACAGCTAACGAATTGTAGCTCTGAAGTCCCTTCAGAGAATATAATCTGTCATGTGTATGGATTGACTTCAAAGTCCTAACCCTAATCTAAAAATCCCCTCACACCTATCTCTGTAATCTTCTACATTACTCACCCCCTCCACTAGGCTAATATGTGCCTCCTGTGTGCCCCACACCCCACCACCATCCCCTTCACCCTACCATTGGTGGCCAAACCTTCACCAATACACCTATGGCACTTGAGCACCTATGAACACTTATCGCTATTCGCCACGCTATATCTTTTCACCACGCCTATGGTCATGGATTTAGTAAACAAATTATTATAATTTTTTTATATTTTTAAAAAAGGATTTTTTTGCTATATTGAAGGGATGGGATTAGGGTAGCTTTCACTCTGGGCCTGAACAGCTCTGATCCTAGCCTGGACAGGACTGAAAGAGAGGGGATGGTGGGGAACGGTTCAACAATTGGCCTCAATGTTGAGGTTGCTGGGAGGAGGGGATAAAAAAAGGGGGGAAAGCCAACTACAACTCAAAAAGCATGTTTTGAGTGCTGTACAGTTTTGATGATAGCGTGTTCTGCAGACGACTGTTGTCAAAGATGCAAGTAGTAGTAATAATAATAATTCTTGCATTTGATGCAGCGCATTATCAAAATAACAACTTGCATTTACATAACGCTCTTCACGCGGGGTAGCGCCCCACAGCACTTCAAGACATTTCTTTGAGACATCTCAAAGCGCTTCACAGAATATACTGTAAAATGAATTGACTGTGGAATTGAGAAAGTTAAAACAGCGCTCAATATATTTCATTTTAATAGCATTAGTGTTTTTTTTAAAAAATCTATAGCATTTCTAGAAACCCTTATGCACATGATTTATGGTGAAGTTTCAGAAGGACTGACAGCTATGAATCTAGATCTGTTGTTCCCCCCCTGCCCCCCCCCACCCTCCATTTGTATTGTACAAATAGAAACTTTCACAACTTGGCAAAGATTATACGTTATATTTCTCGTCTTAACTAAATATCATTACAAATATTCTAAATAAAGTGGTCATTTTAGGTTGGCTGCTGGAGTTTGGTTCAAATTTGGCTGGATTTCTGCTGCCAATCCCAAAACAAATTATATTGTTTATCAGAATTCTTTATTTTGCTGTTATTCATTGGTCAGTAGTAGTGTGAACCACAAAGCAGGTCAAATTGTGGATTTAGACTTTTTAGGCGTGTATTACTTGAATAGAAAATAGGAACAGAAGTTGGACTTGCTCAACATTTTTGGTAAGTGCTTTTGATACAACTGTAACGACTTTCAAGTCAGGAGCTTTCAAGTCAAAGCGCTACACAGCATTTACTCTTCAGTGGGTATGTTGTCGTCAAATGTGGCAACCAATTAGTGCATAACAATATCCCATGAACAATGAAGTGAACAATTTTATTTGGAGAATTGTTGGTCAGTGAGAAACGTCCTGCTCTTTTCAAATCATACCATGAAATCTTTAAAGTCCATCTGAACAGGCAGACGGGATCTTAGTTTAATGTCTCAACAATGCAGCACATGACCAGCTCTGCAATGGAGAGTCAGTCTGGAATAGGTCTTCAAAATCCTGGTGTGGGACTTGAACTCAAAACCTTCCAACTTAGAGATGAGAGTGCTACTAACTTAGCCAGGTATACACCAGTCATCAGAAATAGGAACTATTTTTCCCTTTCTAAAGAGGATCATTGATGCAAATGATGGCACCCAACTACAGCACTGGCTGAAAGTAACTGATTTACCTTAGACTGATTTGAATCTTCCAGTCTTTAATGGCCAGCAATATCCCTCAGGGATGAGTGCTGATATAGGAAGAGAATAGTGTAATGTTTTCTGAATACATTAAACCAGAGGTTCTAAATTGTGAAAACTGCAGCAAATGGTAGATACAGATTAAAAGAGTGAGCAAAACTATGGCAGGTTACGTTTAATGTAGCATAATGTGAGGCAGTTCAATTTGTATACAAGATTGGCTGATGGTTTATATGTTCTGAGACCCCGTCCGGCGTGGAGGGCGCTATATAAATCCAAGGTGTTGTTGTTGTAAATAGGATGCAATTGGAGAGGTAGATGAGTAAAAAAAAAAGGTGTCCAAGTTAATAAATTGATTAAAAAAAAGTTTTGCAAAGCAAATTCTAATCTTAAAGTTCTAAAATATTAAAGCCAAGAACGTGCAGTTCCACTTATACAAAGTTCTTGTCAGAGCTAGTAGTATTGTATTCAGTTTTAGACATCCAAATTAGGAAGGATATAATGGCTTGGAGATTTCCAGCAACAATTCACTGGAATATCTGGGATGAAGGGATTTATTTGTGATAAAGATGGGTAGATTTTGATTATATTCCTTAAAATTGAGGAGGTTCCTGTGACTCCAGTTTCATATGCTACTTCATGACTCCCCCAAGTTTCCAGTAACTTTCACCATATGTATATAAAAGATTCAGTTGCTTTCTAAAACAACTCACAGAAGCTTGTTTCGTCAGTCCCCAAATAAGTACCAATAAAGAACAGGCATCAAATATCACATAACACAATAAGAGACTTTATTGCTTTGTTAACAGATAGGACATTACAAAAAATAGTATTTTCCTCTAATATCCAACAGCTGAAGGCAGGACACTGTCCATAACTAAGAAACAAAACTTGGGACATAGATACATCCTTGTTTAACTAAAACCATGAATTACTGTAACTTTTTTACATTTTACCTCGCTTTGGGTATCATTACAAAAATAAGTGAAGTCACTGTTGTACTTACAAATTCAGTCATAAAAATGTGAACCATAATTATCTGAAAGACAATTTTATGAAAGATGAATACTAAGGAATCTATTTGTTCTGTGATTAATTATGCAGAATGCAGGAAGACACAACATTACCATCAACTGTGCAGATTTTTTTAAAAAATGAACAAATGGGATTCAACTGTCTCTGTCAGCAACCAGTTTTTCAAGCTGTTAAAATCTCATACTGTATTTAGTATCTAACAGTCAACAGTATCAACACAACACTAATTATTCATAGTATAACCTAGAAAATTAAATAGAAATCTTCAATTCATCAAATGACACTCAATTAAAATAAGTTTCTATAATTCACATCCATCGTTATATTATGCAAACTCAAAATTATTCAGTTACAGTGATTAGAATTTTTGCATTTAATAAAAGAAACAGAAAATGTTTACTTTTAAGCATTGGTGGAATTTCTATACACAGAAGAGCAATGTGATCCAAACCAATTAATACACAAAATGTTCCTTCCTGTATGTTCTTCAGTGCTGGCTATCTGCTTGGCAGTTATTTTTCTGTGTTTGCATGTCATCATTTCCATTGCATCGGTATTGCATTTCCAATTAAAAGCAAATTCATTTTCTTTCACTTCTAAAAAATGCCTAAAATAAATCTTAAAAATATATTTTTTAAAAAAACCTTCATCTATTCTGGAAGACAAAACAATGTGAAAATGATTCCACAAAGCGTGTAAAAGCATGGCAACATGGACACGGAGGAAGGCTACGGTTTCCTGAGATGGCTCTAACTATAACTACAATCCTGCTCATTGAAAGTGTTTAATCTAGATATCTAAAATACAAAGACAAAAAACTACAGTGTTATAAAATCAACCAATTTTTCTTTGTATTCCATACAGAATGGCAATTTTGAATCATTTGACAATTACTCAAAATAGAAATAAATAAAAACATGTAACAAACAGCAATGCCGCCGGAAGCATTCGCAGTATATTAGACTGACTAAAATCAAATGTAAACATTTCAGATGTAGAATCACAAATCAGTATTATAATACTGACAAATCATTGGTAAAAAATAATTTCAACAGTACAAAATCTAGAACCATGCCAGTATAACTAAGAACTACACATCTCATGAACGGCAGACCATTTAAACACATGTTCTTTTGTTCAATCCTATCAAACCACTTGTTACTGTATCCTACTTCAAAGATACCTTTGTAATGCCTTAGCACCACTGGCCAATGATACACGAAAGTAAATTTGGTTAAAATGGTTACTACTCATAACAGTAGTCACAGGACTACGGAGAAAATTGCTGGAGTATATTTATGCAATCTATACAATTTTGTGAGACTGTACCACTTTCCATTGTGACCCATTTTCTACTTTTTAAAACGATTCCTCATTTATCATTTGACTGCAGCAATACCAAACAAAAAGAAAGTGTAGATGCACTTCTTTGTACCGGTCTATTGCTCCTTACTTCCTCATACCCATAAACCAATATTATAAAATTTAAGGAGCTTAGACATTTTTAAAGATGAAACTGTAGCCAGAAGTGCAAGCAACATAACAATAGTACAGGGGCGAAACTGTGGTCAGAAAATTCTCAATCCAATTGAGACACCGATCAGGTCCAGAAACACGTTTCCATTTCCTGAAAAGGATGCAACGGCTCGGTTCTGGCTCAAGTAGTGGCTTTGTAAAGGAAAGTCTTACTGGCTGAGAAGAATACAATACATTTATACAGATGTTTCAGCATCAAGGACATTTCTTGAGGGCACCTCTTCAACACAAATTTTGATATCCACTGGGTTTTCAGGGCTGCAAATGTGTAATAAGAATATATTGCCAGGAGTCTGTATTGGTAGCTTAACAATATGCAAAAACACGCATGCACATGCACACAAAAATGCAAGTGTGCATATATGCAGGCACACACATATACATACATAAATACACACATCCATATATATATACACACACACACAAATACATACACACATAGTAAAAACACATCCGTAAAGAAAAATAAATAAGTTAAAATTGTATCACAATCATAAAATTCTAATATTTCAGAACTTTAATGAAGGGCTAAGCAGAAGTGTGGATTGCCTTGTAATTCCTGTAGTTATTTTGTAGCATTAGATACAAATTCAGTTGTAATTTCATTCCTGCGTAGCTCATTATTTTTGAAATCCAGATCAACATTGATGTGGTTAGACATCAGTTTTAAAACTCAAAACATATTTTTTCATTCTATTTACAAACACATCTAGTCAAGTAATTCTCAAGTATTAAAAAGTACTAGTTGTGCTATCTACTGCACTTTGCAGATAGAAACTCACATCTGGAAAACAATAAATTAACTAAATGAATTTTCTATTTGAGAATAAAATGACACTATTACTATAAATCAATCCAGGCTATTTAAATGCATGAGTATTTTTAGTGAAACATAAAATGGATCACTGTTAAGATTTCCTTTTAGTCCTTCCTCCATCTACTAAATAACTTTGAATAGATTAATAGTAGTTTTAAGAATATCCCATTATATCTGCAGTGCAAAATAGATAATTTATGTTGCCAATTTTCATGGAAGTTTATTTCACAGAACACTGTAATCCAGTAGATATTGATGTCAGCATAACACCAGTAGCTAAACTAATGCTCACACTGCTGTAAAACACAATCAGCAGTGAAGGGAGGAACTCTGAAGCTGAATAGAGAATGAATTAATAGAAAAAGTGCAATTTTATTGTAAGGAAAAGAGCCTTTTGACTGTGTTCAGTCATCTTACCCCTCCCTACCCCCCTTGGGCTTCCACCCCCAGCTCAAGTGCCCAGCCAACAGTGTTAAGCACTTTGAGACACCATCTCAACGTGAAAGGCATGATATAAAATGTAAATTGTATTGAATAAACAGGCAATGAACAGCTGGATGGCCCCGGATTCATCTGGTTTCTTTTTATATATAGCCCATTTTATCATTTGTTATTTATAGTGAATCTTCCCATTTATGTTTGTCAGTATCTTCTAATAGTATCCGTGTTTGTCCAAAGCTAGATGATGCTCTTTCGAATTGATATCCAGAGTGTTTTATTCCAGTTTGAATAGTACAGAACATGAAGTTTTAACCACCAATCCCTAAAGGTTTAAATAACTCAATTTAATTAAAACAATTTGACATTAAAGAAAAACAAAGATGCAAAATGAATATTTTCTAACATCTAAAGCAGCAAAAGTTATCAGCAAGTCCCTTAATGAAATCAGAACGGATTCCAACAGAATCTGGCTATGAACAGACAAAAAACAGAAACTTATCCAAATTACTTTTCCTAACCATCAAAGCATTTGTTAAAGAATAGCAGTTGACCCTTTTGAAAAGAGTTTGAAAAGAAAATTCAAAAGAAAGGTAAAAACAATAGATTAAAAAGTGTTTCAAGAAAGATACACATCAGAGCAACAAAATAAACTTCTGCTATCCACATTTAAATGTGACTTAATTCTTTGTTGCTGAATTAGCCAGCCTTAAAACATGAAAAGGAACAGATCACTGGAATCAACAGTTCCTTCACACAACCAAAAGACAGTGGATTCAATGATCTGGTCAAGCTCCAATTATTCTACGGGCTTCAAGGAACACACACGCAGTGCTCATAGTGGCAAGAAACACTTACAAAATATATTTATACCTGATATTTATATTGATTTGCAATTCACATGGAACATTTTGTTTTTATGCCAAGAAAAAATCCAACAAACCCACAGAATAATCGTATTTAATATCTGATGGCAAATGCAGGTACTTTGCATTTAGATTTATCACTAACTGTTCTAAAACTCCTAATAAAAACCATTCACAATCACAAAAGCACTACACTACATAGTAATTTGCAATCCCTCATGATAATCAATATTGGGCCCATGGGGATTAGACACACTCACATTGCATTTTCATTAGACCCAAGTATTGCGTGGAAATATGATGTAAGGCATTATCCTGTACCGGAATGATAGGACATTAGAGAATGGTAGGATACTAGAAACGATAATTTAAGTTATTTTCGAAAATATAAATACGTTAAGACGTGAAATGGTAAATCATAGTATTAAACTAAATAAAAGTAAATGTACATGCAATGCTTCATAAAATTAAATAGCTATTATGTATAACAAAATCCCAGCTGAATATAAAAGATATGGAAGGAAGGTCAATCTCATGGAGATTTTATTACTCATTAATAGTACGACATGTTCTGGTAGCTTTTATGGACGTATCCAGCTGTTGTAGCAACTTATCAATACTATTACTAAAGCCTTTAATTCCTCCATAACCTCCTCCAACATCCAATCAAATAAGAACCGTTGAAATTCAAGATTAAAAGCCTTTTAATATCATATGATGAAAAACTGCTGTGAGTATTCACTTATACTTAAAATAAGGTCCTTGTTAATTCTGCATGTTAAAACAAGTTGTATGTTGAAAACAAATGTTCCAAAACATATTGTAAAAATAAATCTATATTAAAGTCAAAACCGACAGCCTTGATAATGTTAAAACTGAAACCTCTAAAGATCTGATGGCAAATATCTCTGGTGATATTACCCAGAATGTAGATTAGTAATTGTTACGCCATGCTAAAATGCAACTATTGTTGTGCACACATTAATAGAAGAATGTGTTTAGTAATTAGGCAAGCTAATGAACAGTGGCTACCTCTGATTAACTTTCACAACTTTGGCATTGTCGGCATTCATTGCAAGAGCCTTCCACACAGCAGTTTTGGCCATTTCATCGGATATGTTTACAACTGAAGGATCATCTGGGCTAGAGGACAAACATCATATCCAAATGTTAGTACAGAAACATTTTGCATAAGCAGGACCATCAACCGTAACATTGTGTAAAGCTTCAGTTTCACCTCTGCATTAAGCATTCATGCAATTTGTATGTTTCTATTTAAACACAATTTAAATTAGTTTTTGAGGACATTGCAACATTTTGATCATCAGTGGAATACTTCATGCAAACCGAAAGATCATTAGTGAATGATTTACTATTTAACAAGCCAACATACATATCTTGTTTTAGATTTCATTTACAACGCATTAGTATTGCAGAATGATAAGGTAGAGAAATTACTCTTATGAAGTAGACCCTATGTCTCTAATTTAATTATTAGTTTCAAATTGATGGTAAGACTGAACCCTTATTGCATTGGTCAAGTATTTGCTTGACAAGAAGGTGGGTACACAAGAAAGAAGAAGAGAGAATTCTAAAGATGTTAAACAAAGAAAAGGAATCAACAATATAGATTGAGAGCAATTCTTCCATCCAGGAGGGGAATCCAAAACATGGGCATAATCATAAAATTAGAGTTAAACTGGTTTTAAGTGAATAAAGAAACATCACACATAACATAGAAAGAATGTGAAATGTACTTCCTCGGGCTATAAGGCAGAAGCAACTGAGGTATTTAAGAGGGAGGGAGGAAGGCAAATAGGGAGGTAGGCAAGCACTTTGACATCTAGAAATGGCAGGGAAATGAAATAAGAAAGATAAGACTTTAGGGGTGAAACTTCCCATTCCCAAATTCAATGCAAGGTTTCTTTTTCGCATCCTCAAGCTGATATTGGGAATTTTACTCTTCTCTATCAGCCAAATCCATGGATTCATTTCAGTCTGCCTGGAATTTTTAGTTGTGCATAGTATACAGCAGTAAGGAAAGATGGAGAGTTTTATCCAAAACAAGTTCAGATGAAGAACACTTCTGTTTATTTCATCTAGTCCTTCTAGAATACCAACCTATTTGAATACAATTCCTCCTATTACACCATCATATATGTTTCTTAAATAAGTCCTCAACTACCTTTCCTGATAATTTGTTCCACTTGTTTAATACTCTTTATGGTTTGCATTAAAATTGTTCTTGACCAACCCTGAAGATGCGATCTCTCGTCTTGCTGTCTTGGCCTACCTAGAAGCACTGTTAAGGGTCTATTTCTCTCCCACCCTACCTCCATTTAGTACTTCTAAACCTCTATAAAATCCCTTCAGAGATGTCCATTTGAGGCTGAAGAGAGTGCTGCCATGGTCATTCCTTATCCCTCTTGCACTCTGGGTGTGCCCTGCCTATACCCCTGTACAGCTTGAGCAGGACCGACAATTTGAATTCAACTAAATTGTAGCCGGGCATCCCATCTGCATGATTTCTTGCTACCTCACACTGTTACGCTAAGGAACAAGTCAACAAAAACCCTCCAAACAATTTACTCACAGAAATTGGAGTCTGAAATTGTGCCGGGCAATCATTTAGCGGGCGGTTAGAAGGAAAAAAATCACTACCTTTGCAAAGATAAATTACACATTTATATCCGTTTCACAACAAACTTGGGGGCCATACTTGCGAGATCCCGACATCTTCAAACGTTTTCTTCAAAAAACAGTTGTGTGATCACAAACAAGCTGATAAAACCATAAATGATGCTACTCTCTGAGTAGGGACTACAAAAACTGTAGTCATCCCCATTGAAAACCATTAGATAACCTCACACCATACCTGTATTTAATACTTTTTACTGGAATCTTCAGAATATTGCCACCTTCTAAAGGCAGCTGTACTGTCCCACTTTGTGCTACTTCAAGCATCCTTTGAGCTTCCTACAAAAAAATTGAAAATAGAAGATTATAAGCAAATAGCCCTTTGTCAATGGGTCACTGGAAAGTCCTTTGTAGAAAATTTTTACTGCTCACGCCTGAAACCATTACCCTTTATTATCTTTAATTTCATCAGTCAAATCACATAATAGTCCTAAAATGATAAACAAATTTAGTTTAAGACATTAATAAATTCCTGATTCTGGAGCTCTACTGTTTACAAGGGGAACTCCAACTAAAACGATAAAGAAAAATCTGAATTCTTTAAAACTTTTGGAACTTCACACTTGTTTTATTGCAATATGGTCATTAAATTATATTACACATAAAAGTAAATCAAATATTGGAATCAGAGGGATATTACATTATGTATATGTAAGCCATCATAGATGATTGAAAGTCAAGCCTTGAACTTGAAAACAAAACAAACACAAATCTGAACCAAAGCAGCTCATGTCCATATTGTCTTGCAAAAGGCCTGAGCAAATATTTGGACCAGAAAGCTGTGAACCGTCAACTTGAACTGTTCTCCTTAGTTAAATAAAGTTATTTTAATAATGAAATAATCCTTGCATTTGATATAGCAATTTTACATCTTCTAGACGTCTACTTTCACAAGGACCATCAGGAACACAAGATTAAGTGTCAAGTGACATCAAAGAAGAGGCAGAATTCTATCTCTTGATTCTCAAATAGCACGGCCCCCTGATCACTGAGCAATATCATCATGCTGATTGCCGATTCAGCATTGGCTGCAAACCCAATGGCTTATTAAAATGAACATTACTCATGTGTAAGCCTTAGCAGTGAGCGTTAACCTGCTGTTCCACTGCAATCAAAGCTGAACTTGATCCTGGACACACATCATGTACCTCCAGTGGGAGTGGCTGTGTGGTATTTAGGAGCAGGAACCCTGGATGATTTTCCTTTTCCACAAACTGAAGTGTGTCATCTATCTCAGCACCAACCTAGCTGAAATCAATTAACTTAGCGGAGACAGTAAGCCTGATCAGCTACTCACTAAATCTGAGCCAATGGATATTATAAACATTAAATATCCTACGCCCTAAATCTCAACTGCTCAGTTAATATAAATGATAAACCAATGGTTTCCCAGTTAAATGCTGTCAAATAAACAACTGAGGTTTCACGGTACATGCATCAAAAACATTCTAAATCCAATTTCTTTCAAAATATCTATATGGTTCATTTCATTCATTAGTAAATTAATATTTTTCTTAGCATTAGTCTTAAATGCAGTGAAAAATACACCTCACACATACTGTTGTAACATTGTATGGCAATCTATTGTTGAATGGGCAGGTATACCACTTCATAGCACTGCTTTAACAGCACATCAAATAAATGTATAAATGAGTAAGGGTATAGGGGCATCAAGGGATATGGGGCAACAGTGTGTAACTGGAATGGAGGTAAAGATCAGTCATGATCTAATAGAATGGCAGAACAGGCTTGACAGGCTGAAAAGCCTGATCCTGTTCCTATGTTCCTAAATTACACCCGTCTGATCAGCTCCCACTGCAAAATCAATTGCTGAAACACAAAACTAGCAGCGCTACAAATGTTCAAAAAGTGACTAACGGATAAAATAAATATTTTGTTCATCATAGTGAAGAGAAGTCACAAAATAGAAAAAGTACGACTTGCTAACAGGAAGTTGTGGAATACTTTACCTCACAAGGAGTGTAAAAGGCATTTCATACACCAATCAAACAAAGTTACTAGAGAGGGAGTGACCAGCGTTAATTTAAAGGTTTCCATGACTTCATAAAACAGATCAATTTCAAACAGATGTAATGTGATTCTCTTAAACTTCATACAGAATTGCTTTGCAACTACCTTTTATAATTTAATATTTCAAAAGGTTATTTTATTTTGATTGTTAATAAATGACTATTATCAATTTAAATCTGCTTGGAAAAGACAAGAATCGTCAATATACAATTACAATCAAACTGAAGAACCTACAGCCTTTCTTGCCTTCGCTGTGCCTTTTAATTCTTAATCTGGTTTCAAATATAAATCATATGGGAAATTACGCTTGCGGGAGATCATGAAGAGAGATGGAGCTGAATCTATATATTCTTCTCTCCTATACTTCACAAGTGCCATTCAAAAATAACCAATAACATACCCACGGTGGTTTAGATCCATCCATCGATTTCTAGAGCAAATTGAATGTGCAGGAGAAAAAGCAGACAGAGAGGTCAGTGCCTTCAGAAATTATACAAAGAAAACAGGACAAACTTGGTGTGAGCCTGTTAACTGTTGAAACTATTATGAAGGATAGAATGTGCTACCATAAAGCACAAAAAACGCCTGATATTTATTAAGTATGTTATCTGACCCATATAAAACAAAAGCCTGGGCTCCAAGACACAAATGAGTTTCTCTCTGGAACTTCAGTGCACTGGAAAATTAGAGGCTACTTACTCATTCAGTGAGTTTTCAAAACACTAATGAACATATCAATTTAAACATCCATTGCTTCTTTGCATTTCAAAGTGCTAGTGACATACAGCAAGTGTTTTGGGAGCAGATATTCTCTAGACTAATCAAACTTCATTGAAGAACAATTTTTACAAATCTGGATGCTTTCTTATTAAAATGACATGTTTGGGAACAAGTAAAGCACGATACAACAGATATAAAATTGGTAAGTTTCACTTATATGTTTAAATAACCTACTTTCCTGTATGTTATTGCAGCGTTGACTTTATATTTTATTAGCACCAAATTTTACTGTATTCACTGCATGATTTTTCTCTGCATTGCTGACCATTCTTGGATGACTAGGATGGAGCATGAAGAGCAACTACAACTACCCTGAGTTTTCTAATCATTAAAGTTGGCAAGCAAAGGACCTGAACAAAGGATCTCGTACATGCACAGAATTACTCAGCAGGAAATAACTCAGTCCAAGCTGAAGTACATAAACCTAAAGGGGAAATATATATCAACACTTTGCATTTCTCTTTAACCCCATAATATCCAAGCAAGATGATAGATCACCTGCACAGGAATAGTGAGGAAAGCAGCAACAGAGACAGGTGGTCAGAGATCAATGTTCTATATAACTATTTTATCTTTGTCAGTTCAGGGAACGTACCTCAGTTTCTTTTTTCTTCTTCTGCTCATCCTCTAATTTCTTTTTCTTACTTTCAGGCATTAAATCGTCCAACCAACTAAGTTCTCGCTTTGTGAAGCAGAAATCCATGAGTTTACGGACAAACACCAAAGCAAGAACCTGAAATGGCAAAAGATCATTTTAGTCCATTTTCCTTCCACTTACCCACCTTCTCACATCCATAATAAGACAATATGAAGGGTATAAGTTGCACAATGGATTAGACTTTCATTTAACTGACAGCCTGGCTCAATAACAGAAAATTGTGGATTCAAACCCCATGTTGGGACTCTGAGCTCATAGTCTCAGTTGGCAATGTAGTGCTGGTGAGCTGGTCCTGACCTGCCTCATCAGGTAGATGGCAAGAAGAGAAGTGCCAACAACTCCCCAGATAAAATTGGTCAATTACATAATGGCGATTTGTGGACAGTGTGCAATGGAGCTCCAAAGTGTGATTTGCGTTCTCCAATGCAAAGCTTGAAGGACTGGAAGGTATGTGGTCCTGGCAGCACATTTATCCTGAACTACCATCAATCCTGCTCTGATAGATAATTTCCGTTGTGATTTCCACAATAAGGAACATTTCTCTTTTCTTTATTCTTTTTAAAATGAAGTACTCTGGTTCTGTGAAGTGCTCTAACTATTTGTCTGGAAAACTTGTTTGGTTTTCTTATTTTCTTACTGAAGGCAATTGAGTGCTGAGTGTCAATCAAGACTGGGAACTCAGCACTGAATTTTAAACTAAACTTTTTAAAGTTAATCCTAAATTATTGATCCCTAATAGTCAACAGGTTCACTCTTGATGTTACAGGTTTGTATCCAGCAGAGCTCAAATGTTGACAATGGAACAAGAGCTTAGCATTTAAATAGTTTGGATAATTCACCAAATATTGTATTAAAAAATAAATTCTAGTTATGAAAATATTTAGAGTGATATTAGGACTCTTCTTCAAAGTTAACCATGTTCATTTAACAGGATTTAATAGTTTATAATTCTAAATCTACAGGATAATTCTTGTACACATGCATACGGCAGCAAAGAATCACTGTAATCTTACCAACATAGGAAAGACAACTGCAGCAGATGTAGTTTTAATAACCCAGAGGACGACAAGGCAAGTGAGCTGAATTATTGTGAAGATATGCACCTTCCATAGTGGTACATAGCGCAGGTAGATTAAGTCAGGTTGGTGTTTAGCAGGCATCCCAAACAACTTTATACGGTCAAAAAACTGAAAATACAAAACAAGTATTAATAAATGTACAATATTCTAAATAGTCTACACAAGAAATAAGTGAAGAATGATGGGTACAAATGAGAGTCAACAACATACCTGAATGCCCTTCAACGAAGAAACACCCATGTAGAGAAAGACACCGTACAGAACTGGCATTGGGATAAACTGTAAATAAAAATGGTCAGTTGTTATTAAATGTTTGCTTCAACAGGTTCAATTATATGATCTGTAACTTCAACTGTCATGGACTTGATTGTTAGCTAACTCTCTCCTCAGGAAATATACAGATTGATGTGATACCAGCACTCTGACTTCTATCTTACCTTTAGAGCAGAAGTCATGAAGACGGACAATCCCATCAAGATGAATATCATTAAGCCGGTGACTCTTTGCTCTCGAATACCAAGGAACTTCGGCTGTTCTCCTGGTGCAGAACACTCTGATTCCAATTTCAGACTGTTGACATGGCTGATGGAGAGGACAGTAGCAGCCACAAACCAGGGAAGACCCATAATTGAACAGATCCCCAACATGACTGCCACGATCATCAGATCAAGGTGATAACCACACCCTTTCTACAAAAGAAAAATCAACATGAAAAACATACATAACATTAAAACAATGTTGGAAAGAGCAAAGAATTACAATTAGGGTAGTTAACTAAAGTGAAGAAATTAGCAGCTGCATATGCTTGATGGGCAGAAAAGCCTTGTGCTGTTATTTTTCTTTGTTTCGCCTGATATTCTAAGAAGTTACCATTCAATGAATGCTGATGATTCTATATTAAAATTAATGTGGTGAAACGGGATCAATTATCATACAATTTCTGTAACCCAGTTGATTCACCCACAAAATACACAGTCAATCCACTTTACAGTTTATCCTGTGAAGCACTTTGAGACATTGACAACATAAGGCAGGCACTATATTCAATCAAAGATTATGATTATTATTAAGCATTTCAATATACTGGCCCAAGTGTGGTAGCAATTTAGGGAAAAGTGCTCCTTTGAATGTGAGTTATCAGTCAAGCTAACTGAGGAGGCCAGAAAAAAAAAATCAATGGAAAGCAAGTTTTTTTTTAAAAGAAAGATAACATTAAATGATTATAGAACGGCATTAGCAGAACTTCTCGTCCAAGGACAAACATTGATTATTATGGAAAGAAATCAAAGAAGGGGCATCTTTAACAGAAAATGTAATCCATGTTGATTAGGTCCCCAAATTACTGATAAGGCATATTTGCTCTGCTTGCAAACCTTTTCCTTAGTTGCACTTCAACACTTTGCTTAAAGGGGCCAGAATGATTTTGTCTGTGCACTGTGCATAACAGTCAATAGCATGAAAACTTCATTTTTAAAGGAATGCTACACTACTCTGTGCTCTATATAATAATAATAATACTTGCATTTGATATAGAGCCTTATCACTTCTTTTAGATGTCTCAAAGCACTTCAATATTTTAGAGAAACAAGGTAAAATAGCAATTTATTACTGTGCATCGTTTGAATCAACAGCAGAAATGTTATTTCCCAAATTTCAGAATCTTTTTGTTCCTTAACATAAGAACATAAGAATTAGGAGCAGGAGTAGGCCATTCGGCCCTTCGTGCCTACTCCGCCATTCAATAAGATCATGGCTGATCTTCTGACCTAACTCTGATTACCTGCCCTATCCCCATATCCCCTAATCCCTCTATTTTTTAAGAATCTATCAGTCTCAGCCTTGAAAATGTTCAAGGACTGAGCATCTACAGCCTTCTGGGGTAGTGAATTCCATAAGTTCACTACCCTCTGAGTGAAGAAATGTTTCCTCAACTCTGTTCTAAAGGCTGACCCTTAATTTTAAGACTGTGACCCCTGGTTATAGATTCTCCTACCAGGGGAAACAGACCCTCAGTGTCTACTTTATCCAGCCCTTTAAGAATCTTATAAGTTTCAATAAGATCCCCCCTAATTCTTCTGTACTCTAGAGAATACAGCCCTAGTTTATTCAGCCTATCCTCATAGGTCAGTCCCCTCATCCCAGGAACTAACCGAGTGAATCTACGCTGCACCCCCTCTAGGGCAAGTATGTCCTTTTTTAAATAAGGAGACCAAAACTGCACACAATACTCTAGGTGCGGTCTCACCAAAGCCCTATACAGTTGCAGCAAGACTTCCCTACTCTTATATTCTAAACCTTTCGAAATGAACGCTAACATGCCATTCGCCTTCTTAGTTGCTTGCTGCACCTGCAAACTAACTTTTTGGGACTGGTGTACAAGGACACCCAAATCCCTTTGAATACTAACACTATCTAACTTCTCCCCTTCCAGAAAATAATCTGTTCTTTTATTCTTGCTACCTAGGTGAATAATTTCACACTTGCTAACATTGAATTCCATCTGCCACCTACTTGCCCACTCCCCTAGCCTATCTATATCTTGTTGCAATCTTTTTGCATCATCCTGAGAGCTCACTCTGCTACCTAGTTTAGTATCATCCGCGAATTTAGACACATTACATTCAATGTCCTCGTCCAGATCATTGATGTAAATGGTAAATAGCTGAGGCCCAAGCACTGATCCTTGTGGCACTCCACTAGTTACATCCTGCCAATTCGAGAATGATCCGTTTATCACTACTCTCTGCTTTCTACCCGATAGCCACTCTTCTATCCATGTTAATATTTTCCCATTAATCCCGTGGGCCTTGATCTTGAGTAACAGCCTTTTGTGTGGCACCTTGTCAAATGCCTTCCTAAAATCCAAATATACCACATCTACTGGTTCCCCCTTATCCAACCTGCTGGATACATCCTCAAAAAATTCTAAAAGGTTAGTCAAGCATGACTTCCCTTTTGTAAAGCCATGTTGACTCTGCCTAATCTTTTTATGGTCTTCCAGGTATCCCATAACTACGTCTTTTATTAAGGACTCAAGAATTTTCCCTACAACTGACGTCAAACTAACTGGTCTATAGTTTTCCCTATTTTCTCTCCCACCCTTCTTAAATAGTGGAGTTACGTTTGCAATCTTCCAATCAATGGGAACTTTTCCAGTATCCACGGACTTTTGGAAGATCATAGACATGCCATCCACTACCTCAGTAGCCACCTCCTTTAAAACTCTCGGATGCAGGCCATCCGGTCCAGGGGATTTAGCGGTTTTAAGACCCAACAATTTACCTAGAACCATCTCTTTACTAATGTTAATCTCCCTAAGTTGCTCGCTAGCATTGTCTTCTTGGTCCTCTATTTTTGGTATGTTTCCAGTGTCTTCTACGGTGAAGACTGTAGAAAAATTACTTAGCATTACAGTATTGGCTGTAATAGTTTTGAATGGGAGTTAAAATCTCAAAAGTAGACTTTCACTCCACAACAGTAAAGATCACAGATAATATTTATACCTAATATTCCTAAAATGGAGATTTCAAGTACTTGTGATTGACACTAAAAAGACGTGGCATATATAATGCAGTCTCAAATTTTAACTGTAAAGACCACAAACCTGAAAGATCATCTTCCTCTTAATTGCTGAGTTTAAACCAAGTAAATTTCTGAATTGCTCAAGGAGCTGGTACAGAACCTGCATTTTGGTTGATCTTCAACTAGCCGCTCCCTTTTCCTTTGTATTTGTTTCTTTGTTATATTCATATTGTACCTATATTATGCCAATAAAAATACATACCTTCAGTTTGTGTTCTTTCCTGTTAATTATAACTGCTGTGATCTGTTGATCCATGAAAATAAGGATAGTGCAAAGCAAGGCAGGTACACAAGCAGCAAGCATTGTCCACCAAGGGTTATCTCCAAGTGGGTCTATGAGCCAACCGCGGTCCTTTTGGGTAGGCTACGTGGAAAGGAAAATTGTAGGTTAGTGTTTTTTAATTCTAGAAAATACTAAAGTACAAAGCATTTCCAGTAGGTAAGTTCATAGTGTTTTATATAAAACTGCCCTGAAGAACTGCCCCATACTGATGATGATAATAATACTTGCATTTGATGCCTGATTTTATCTGGTTCAATTACAACAGGATCTCAATGCACACTTTGGGGGTTACTAGTGCCTTTCTGTTTATGAAATTATGAAGTGGAGACTATTTAGTTAAAAGGATTCCAGAGCAAATGTCATTGTGCAAAGTACACACTGCACAATTAATTCCTAGATTTTATTTGTAACCCTGCTACACTGACATCCACACATATATATTCCTGTGCCAAAATACAGGTCCTGAATTTTCCCCAGTAACTTCTTTTAAATCAGCTGCTGTTTTACATGCACAAACTGCTCAGAACAGCACAATTTTATTTTTCCAGGCAAAGGAATACGTTCCACACCCAGTGACCCATTTCCTTTGTTCCACAACAGCAGCCAGCTTTTGAAAAATGTCTGAAAGGATAATCCAAATCAAATGAAATAACACCTCCAAATACCAAATGCAAGGATTACTGTTACTATTATTATTATTGTAGAGTCCTGTAGCTCAGTGGTTAGAGAATTCGCCTCGCAAACGAGAAACCTGGGTTCGATTCCCGGCAGAGCGAAACGTCAGGCATGTTTCCTTGCATCACACGCCTCTGTTTATCTAGCAGTAAGTAGGAACCTTGCTAGCCAATTGGTGGATCGCTTTTCCGTGGGATATGGATGTAAATCTCCTAAAAAAAAATCTAAGAAAAATAATTTGGTGACTTCAATCCACGACTGTTTGTGGGACACTGCTGTGCACAATTGGCTGACGCGTTTTGCCCACAAAATATACAGTCAATTCACTTTACGGTATATTCTGTGAAGTGCTCTGAGACGTCTAGAAGATGTGAAGAGGCATTATCAAATGCAAGGATTATTAATGTTAATTTTTAGTTTGTGAGTGATTGAATCTCAGTACCACCAGGTGGCGCCTTTGTCTTCAGAATATATAATTGCTATTTTAACTGCTAGGTTAAGATATGTGGAATAGACAACTTGGGAAGGCTGTGGGGGCACTGTGATAGAAAACTGATGAGGAAATCACATTTGGTCATTTAATAACCAAATTAATAGGCAGCTTTGAGGCAAAACACACCCCCAATTCCTATGTGCCTATCTCTGTGGTAGAGAAATAGCCATACATTTACAACTTGATACATGGCTTATTACTACTCATACACATTGTGATGAATACCAAGTCATTAAACATAAACTTGAGAAAAAAAGTTTCCAAAATGCGATTACCCACTATGGTGACATTACCCATCATCTCTGCAAAATTACCGAAAATACAAGTAAACTGAACACTTCGCACATTATGCCATCCTGTGTAGACTCGTCATGGTGCCCTGGTTTAAAAATACACTCCACAGCTGGTGTAGAATTTGACTGACATAATTTTGTAATCATAGATATGATAACAATTATTAGATTTATTAAACGTGCATTTCCAATTTATATTGTTACTATAAATGCATAGAAGTATTTATATATCAGTACTTAAGCAGATCAAGTGATTGTGAAATCATAAGGACAATTCAATACTAAAATCTGGTATGCATCGTGTTAAGTAATAAGCAATTTAGAACAAACTTACGAGCACAAGTTTTAAATATATTTATGAGTTTCTTACCTCGAACTGATCAGGTACTTGAAGTTTAGGAGAAGGAATTCCAACAAGGAAATCAATCAGTACCATAATAAGTATGGTAAGAAACACAGCAAAATCACTGATGAGAGCTCTGACCTATAATTTCCAAAAACAAAATTTGCTAGATTAATTGTTGCAATATAAGGATCTAAATTTTCCTCTCTAGGGCCATAATTATATCACCACTAAAAAAATCCATTTACTAATTGGCTATGTTTCTACTGACAATAAATATGTAATGCCAGTAAGGTTGGGTTGTTATGCTTTTTTAATTATTTTATTTATTATTATAAAACATAAATGTATTTATTTTATTAATATATCTTCATTGGAAAGCAAGATTTCACTAAGATATGTTATTCTATTGCAGTCATAGAAGTGATTTGATTATATCTGAGAAAATGATTCTAGCTGTGTTTGAAAGATGGAATCTGTTGTTACTCCTTCTTCTTTATGGTTTCCATTGTGCCACCAACCCCAAAAAGGAAAGAAACCTGTCCCCTAGCCCTCTACTATTACATACTGGTTGGTGGCGGGGGGGGGGGGGGGGAGGGGGGGGAATGGCCTAGAATGCCATTGGTTTTGTCCTCCTTCCCAATACTTACTTAGATCCTTTGCAGGAATGAGCCTTCTGTGTGCTCCTCTTGACACAGCAACTATATACTGTGACGGCCAGTGGGACCAAAAGACAATTACATTTAGAGAAAATGGTGGTGTGAAAATAAGGTTCAAGCTGGCCTCATCTTTGCTCATGTGGAGGTGAGGAAGGGAAGGCAAGGCACAGGTCAGTTATTCAGATACGCAGCCCAAAATTACCTCATTTCCAGTAGCAACTAATTACCTGCAGGAGGGAGATGTATTTATCTTGCAACGCCAGCTTCAAGCAGGTTAAAAAAACTCAGATCTGACAGTTTGCAGCCCAACAAGCTAATTAAGTTTTAGTATGTAATATTATTATTATAATATGCATACATAATAAACATTTACAGCTTTATCTATGTGGATCACAGATGCCATATAAAATATTATGGATTTGCAGCACTCTGATAATACAGCAGTACTAAATTAGAACCATACAAAATGCTTTCATTTACCTTTGTTGGAAAATACCGTTTGGTTTTGAATTGTTTCAGGAAGGAGGAAAGAAAAAATGTTGAGAAAAATAAAATTATCGACCAAAAGAGAACATCAGGAACATAAGGACCGTGTTTCCCGCAGGCTAATCCGACAAAAGTCCCACCATTGTCTTGGCATTCCTAACAAGAACACATAAATGAGAAGCCACAGCTGATTAGCTAAAGAAGAAAACATTTTGAGAACATTCAGATATAGTGTTTGCCTAATGTTCACATTGTGTAGTTAATCAAACATTCCCCATATCTTGTACTTTTAACTCTGATATCCAATCACAATCACAACCTAAATTCCATACTGCAATTAAGTGCAACATGGTCAGATTACAAGATTGGTTTGGATGAAAAAGGCCTTCGGCCCATCTGATATTTCACCAATGTGACTATTGTGCATTGATAGTCAACAAGTTTTGAATCACAAGGGCCATGATTGTCTATTCCCTTTCCCTCCTGATCACAAGACTGATTTGGAATGAAGAAGGCCCTTCAGCCCATCTGATCTCATCCCTCCAGAACAGCCACCCTACAAGCACCAAGCTGCTTTATAAACAAGTCTAGTGTCCTGACCTCTACCACCTTTCTTGTGTTTCAGTTGTTGATTACCCTCTGAGTAAAGAACAACTTCCTGGTATCTATTCTGAAATTTCCCTTTACAACTCTAAATCTACATCCTCTTGTTCTACTGTCATGATTGACGTGTGTGAGCCTCGTGCAGTAGTAGCACTCTCATCTCTGAGTCAGAAGGTTGTGGGTTCAGGCCCCACATTAGGACTTGAAATCATGTCTGTGAAGCACTTTAAGATTTACTGATGATGTGATAAGGCACTATATCAAATGCAAGGTTTATTTTTATTGTAATAATTTATAAAAGATTTGAGATCTCTCAAACTGAGGATGAAAATCAGAATAGCAAAGTATCAAGAGTATGGTGGGGGTGTGGGCTGAATTTTGTGAACATTGTGAAGTTTACACAATACTTTTATATTCAGTTATATTGCATGTTTCAACTGGATTCTACTGACTTGAAATAAATAACTGATTGATTAAAAAAATGAAGGTGATACCCTATTTGAGGATGCTCTTTCAAGACAGGGCTTCAGGGATAATAATTGCTCTGCTTATGGGGTCTGGTATATCTCGGCTTGCATTCGGTGCCCAGTACCTTTGACACTGATCTTTGCTTTCGGGCACAAATAATTTGCCCACAATTACAGTCGCTACACCTGAAAGCAATTATCTGTGAAGTGCTCTGAGATTCCTTTGTTCAGATGCAATATCAAATACAAGGATGATCATAAAATATATTTTTTAAAAATAGAAATGTAATCAATCATCCTGAAAAACAAGTACCAAAAAGTGACATTAATTGTGATTAGCTTCTTTAGATGTGTCTGATGTGCAAGCTACAAGGAGTGATGCCAAGTCAAACATGGAAATTGCCTGCTTGATCTTTACACTTAAATTAAGTTAGCATTCAAAGCTCAATTTGTACAGTGCAATATTTCTACGTGCAGTTTAAATTCAAAAAAAAATTCAACCTAAAGCAACTTACTTTTGCAGTGAGATTCCCCCATGCTGTTATATTATTTTGAATTGAGAAATCCACAGTCTGATTTACAGGATAAGTTGGTTCAGCACAGACGCACCTATCCAGGAAAAGGAAACATTTTAAAACACATATCGATCGGCAAATACAGACATGAAAATAAACTTACCTGTTTTGCCTTTTTCATTGAAACTTGCATTCAACTAATGCTTAAAACGTCAATATTTTAAGGCTGGATATCAAACCCACAATACACATACTTTTTTTTAATAGCAAAGAACACTTCACCATTACTTTCATTTAAACCAACCTATGCACAGCAAAGCAGAAAATAAACCACCCTTCGAATACCAAGCTCAAATTTGTTGAGGAGGAAGAGATGGAAATTTTGACCCCCAACTGTGCTCTGGTTAAATACATCTCCACTGACTCACTTTATTCCTTATTGTGTAGTGAATCAATCACAGATTCAACTCTGGTTAACAACCAGATTTCTCTTTTCGCTTTGGGTGCACTGATCACATGAATTTCAAGTGCGCAAATTCAAACCTAGAATCTTTATTTTAAAATATCAAAATGCTCTGTTATAATGCAGTGCAATAGTGTAGTTAGATGGCTTATACAAAGCATCCAATTTTAATCAGTACAATTTTATGGGGAATGATTATGGGGCAGTAACATTTTTCACCCATCAAACTTGATGTTGTGCTTGACCTCCAGCGTTACATCTGTTCTTGACCAAAAATATCTCTGGAACAGTATCCACTTACGCCCTTGTCTCATGCCCTCTGCAGACAAACACTCTCACCTATACCTTTGTAACCTCAAGGTTAGACTACCCCAACGCATCCAAAACACAACAGTTCTCAGATCCTTGCTCTGACCATCAAATCCCTCCACAGTCTCACTCCTCCTTATCTATGCCATCTCCTTCAGTCCTGTTTTTCACATCTATGGCCTCAACTATCCCATGTATCCTCTTGTCCATGCTCAGTACTCCCTTTTTGCTATGGAAAGTGCTCAGAGTTGTTCATCTTAACGGGAAGGCAGTATAAAAATTCAAGTACTGATATTAGTTTCTAATAAATTAACAATTCATTTAACACAATTCTTATTCATGGTTGACCTTTGAAAAGTTTGCTAAATAATTTAGTGGGCGATCAGCAGAATTTACAGATAATAATACAGATAATAATAATAATAATATAATAATAATAGATAATGCTTTGAAATTGAATCAAAGCAACACATTTCTAAATTATAGCTGTCGTATGGGCTAAAGATTCATTGTGTAAAAGCCCACATTTATTGCAAATACTGAACAGTTTAACGGTTCAACTCACTCCACAAGAAAATCTATCCAGAGAAAGAGAGGAGGAATATATACAGGCTGGCTTATTTTTGCTTTACAGTTTGACAACAAAAAGCTTATCGTGGAGTCCTGTAGCTCAGTGGTTAGAGCACTCGCTTTGCAAGCGAGAGACGTGAGTTCAATTCCAGGCAGGGCGAAACCTTGGGCAAGTTTCCTTACTCCACACGCCTAATAATAATCCCTCCAAAACCAAAAACAATAATAAAAATTGGTCATTTTCACTGTACGACTGTTTGTGAGTCATTGCTGTGTGCAATTGGCTGCCGCGTTCGCCCACAAATATACAGTCAATTCACTTTACAGTGTGTTCTGTGAAGCGCTTTGGGACGTCCTCCTGACGTGAAAAGCGCTATATTAAATGCAAGGATTATTATTATTTATTATTATTATTGTACTCAGTATGTTCGTGATTCCAGAGATCCCTATTTGAATAAATCCAAGATAGTAATATAGTGAAATTTCAGGCTGAAGACCATTGGTCCATTCTAGTCTAACCATCCAACGTCCCAAAATTCCTCGAGATGAAATCTTTTTGAATAGTGTTTGATGTCAGAGAATGCACAGAGTGCTTAAATACATGGCTAAATTAGGAAATATAAGTGTCCAAATTCTACAATGAGAAAAGCAGCCTAATACAAAGGTTAGACTTTCAATTTTAACTTTTATTCCTAACCATCTTGGGTATTTTCCTTATTTTCAAAGGGAAGCATCTAATATGTTGATCTAGTCTATAAGGAATGGGTTAAGATGACAATCAACCAAAATAGGTTGCCAGCTTTTGGCTCTTAATCTGTTCTATTAGAGCAAGATTTTGCTCTTGATCCATTTACACAGTAGAAATACTGTAATGCATTTTGCATACACATTAGTACGTTGCTACAAGTTTGTATGTCGCAATTGAAAGGCGCTAGGAACCTGGAGAAGTCCTACCGCATTAACAATTTTGCTGGTAGAGGTCGACTGATGCCATGGAGTTTTTCATGTACCTTCCCACTTTCAACATCCTTGAAGCGCTGGGATTGCACGCAAACAATTTTGGAATAGAAGGGACAGCTGGGAGCTAAGGAGAACAAAAAGGTTAAAAACGAGAGAAAATGGAAAATTACATAATTATAGGGACACTCCATGGGAAGCCAAGGAACACTGAATTTATCCCAATAATCATTAAACACCGCTCGTGAGTAAGTGGGAGCAACGCTTAGAAACAGAAAAGACCATTCAGCCTATTTAAGACAGCTTCTTCGACAGACTACAAAACCTAACCTTCCATGAACATCATCTCACCCATCTTCTGAAAGAAATGTGCTTCATAGATGAACTGTGAACCTAAAAGGCAATAAAGCAAAATCTATCCATTTCTCCTTCCCATTCCCACCCCCATTTCCCCCTCAAACCTGACTTCCTCCCCAGCTGCAGCTGTAGGGAAATAATTGTTTGTGGAGAATGTATTGATGTTAGCCTGCACCTATCCCAATATCCTCCAATAAGATAAATTTTGTATTGAATGGCTTCGCATTGCATATTCTGTGCAATGTAATCAGTTGATTGTTTTTATCTGGCCTACTAGGAATATGGAGGTTCAATATCACCCATGCCTTGTGAAATGGCTCCCTTTCCTCTAGTAAATGTTATGCAGAATCCTGAATTCCTGGGTAAAATGAGTAAAAATGAGTAAAAACAGTATTTCAGTAAAGGATGGTAGGCCGAGTTTGCATTTCTAACTTCAGAACTCTAACTAGACATCATTCATTCAAGCAAACACCTTGTGATAACTTGGAAAAAATCCGACATCTTCTCAGTACCCTTGACTACCACTTCCTGAATTGACAATTTCAAGACACTTGAATCTATTTTTAGTGCTAATGTGTGAGCATTAGAAAATTTGAGTAGCACTAACAAACTAAAAAAAACATTTTTGGGGCATTTACAAAGGTTATGTATGAGACTGAGTATTGTCGCATAACAACAAGTATAATTCCCACACCTGAATAAATTATGAACAGAAATTAATTTACAATTGATAAGAAGAACACAACTTCAGGCACCACTGCCTCAGGAAACGGACAAAATTAGAAAATTGAAAGAAATTGTGGCAATCAGTTCTCGAAACGTGAACTAATTGATGAACTTTAATTACTGTAGAAAAATAGCCTTTCGAAAAAAAATCAGTTTCTGAACCACTTAATGTACTGAAATATACCCTCAGTACACATTTCAGACAAACATACCCTAATGGGTGGGATGTTGCAGGCACAACCATGTAAGAAGACTCCAAAGTCAGCAGGGAAATGTATTTGGGATACTAGGAAGTCTATTCTGGTGTCTTGACCAAATTCAAGCTATTAAAGTATAAAAAGACCGGGGGGGGGAGACGGTAGCATCAAGCACTTCCAGCCTCAAGAGCAGCTAAGCAAATAGGTTCCCATATACAGAATAAATCTCCCTCCACTCTGAACCAGATTATCTTAACTCAAGGCTCAGAAGACGGCTACAACTACACCATGTGAACTGTTTCACTTGCTCGTCCTCCGATACAATACGAAATACAATACAAAAATACATTGTAAAGCGCCTTTCATATCGGGAGGATGTCCCAAGGAGCTGGACAGTCAGGGACTTAGACCTGAGCAGAGGGCTTTTGGGATCAGGAAGGGTGGAGGGGAGGGAGGGTAGGAGGGTGGCCGAAGGCGCAGTCGGAGAAGGGTCTTGAGACGTGCCTTGAAGGAGGCAAGGGAGGGAGGCAAAGGGAATGTGGGATGGAGTTCCAAAGCGTGGGGGCAGAGAGGCTGAAGGCCCGACCGCCGATGGTGGGGCGGGCTGGGCTGGGGATGTGTGCCAGGTTGATGATATGGCAGTTCACAGAGGTAGGAAGGGGCAAGGCCTTGGAGGGCTTTTTGGCCTCCAACCAAGACTACTAATTTCCTGTCCAATTGTAGACAGTTTTATGCTGCTGGCCTAGGTCCACAAGGAACCAGGTAACTGGTCGAAAATAACACGATAGTCAGTCTGGGATGGAATCAAACCCCAGGTCACAGAGATCAAAGTGTAATACAGTTTAAGACTACCATGTTGGCCACACCTTAATAAATAGATCAACATTAATATCTAATCGACAAAGGGGGTACAGAACACAACAAGAATTATTACATACATAGAGAGTAAATGTATTCTAGTCGCACAGATCTACTTAATATAGGGAGTAAGTTGAGTTTTCTTGGAGCTGGCTCCAAGGGGGCATACTTGGCAAGGGAATGCTGGAATAAAGTCTACTCTCTATGGCACTCTCAGTAGTCCAGTTCCTGAACCAGGCAGGTTTGCAGGAGTCCAGATGACTGTCCAGCCAGCCTGGCCATCAGCAGGACACGGAACAGCAAAATCACTACGAACAGGGATTCTTCCCACTTAGCTTCAGTGCAAGCCAAAGCCTTAATGGGTAAGGCAGTCATTGCTGGACAAGCAGTAGTAAGCTTGCCAGACAGTGCTCTCAATGGCAATTCGTACGGTTTTAGTTGGTAAAATATCAGCACACTCAAGCTTTGGTCCTCACCCAATACTCTCCCAACTTAGGTGTGTCCCTCCAAAGAGAGTGTGCATTCCATTCCAGACACAGAAAAATTTTCACCTGTAGGTGGCACACATATGTAGAACTTAGTCTGGTTTGGATACTCTTAAGCATAGTGATTGGTTTCTGCAAATATCAGATACTCTGACAAAGGAAAGCACCTGTATACTTATTCACTTTATTCCCATCCTGTATTTTAAAATTGCTGATCGGGGACAGACTGGGAACAGGTATTTTGTGCAGAACTAATCTGATGCAATATTTTACTGACCACATGAATGAAAATGCTTCCCACTGTTTTCATTCATAGCATCACTGAGGGGGAAGGATAGGGGAACAGGTGATCTCCACAAAAGATCTGATCCTCAACTGTCTCTACTTACCAGTTGTATGTTATAAAACATGGTAAGAAGTGGGAAATACTGACACTCAGTGTAATGACATCTCCCCCTTATGACAATTAAGAATTTCACAGTTCAAAGAATTTCCTTTAAACAATCTATACTGATTGTTAAAAATCAAGGCAATTTTTGTGAAAACGGCAATTTAAATAAAACGAAAATAAGAGTTAACACCTTCAGATACTTCAATGATGCAGGTTCACTCCATTCCTTAGACTGAAAACAACTAAGAAAAGGAGTCATCCTAATCTGTACTTAATGGTTATAACACAAAACAGGTTTTAGCACCAAATCCTTAAATAATGTTAAGACACAAAAATAAGCTACAAAATTGTATATACTAAAATGTTACCTCTTAAATACAAGGGCTGCTTTTCAATAATCAAATGTAGATTTGCTACATACTGTGTTTATCTTCCTGATAAGGCATTAAACACAAGATTAATTTGATCCCTATCAAAGAAATTACATGGAAAAGAACAAGACACTGGAAGCAATTACCAGGTAAAACACACATGGTTCAGATTATATCAAACTGAAAGAACAAAGCTCAATGGGTTTAGAAGGTATCTGAACCTAGAGATGAGATTATAAACTTAGTCATTTCTATCTACATCTTTCTAACTTGTATATGGAACTGGTGGAGCAGTCACCCTCCATATCCACAATTTTAATTTGACATTATTAGGCATAATGACAAACATGCGCAAATCAGGTATTCTAAGCAATTAGTCCCCAGTGATAATCTCATTGAAGAACTACCTTAAACAAGAGTATGCTGAATTACCAGGAGACTATTATAAGATTTACTGACAAATAGATACACAAATTGCTTACGAGTATTGGGTTAGCTTCTCCAGATCATCATGCATATTAATTGGATATTTCTCTCCCAGGTCTAGCAGCTTTTCCAATGCTTCATAAATGAATATAATACAAATAAGAGCAGCAAAGGCTTCTTCTGTAAAGCGGGTTATGTAGCAAACCAGACTACTTGAATCAGTAGCAACCAATACGATGCAGAGGAATGCAGTCCACAATCCAATGCTGCCACGAAGTGAGAGATACGAAAGACCATACTGCCTGTTGAAGGAATAAAATACAAATTCAAATTATTGTTCAGTTCTTATAAAATGCAACACATATAGTCATGCTAGCAAAGTTATAACTGGCTTCCCTCAGGAAGCAACAGGGAGCAAGAGAGGAGAGAGATGAAATGAAGCAAGTGAGAGAACAGAGGAGGTGTCACCGTCAACAACTCAAACCTCTGGTCCACTTCTATAAGGAATATAAAATAAAAAAGTAGAAGAAAAAAAATCACCCTCAAATGTTTGTTCACTTTCCAAAAATATGGCTGCTAACAATGTCAGTTAATAGCTTGCTTATAGACCACTAAGATGGCAGAGCTGTATAGTGCTAGTTTTTCTTTATTTTCAGATACTTTGCAATATTCCTCGTTATTTCATCAAAACTATTCAGAACCACAACATTCTGTTTCAGAACTGAAGAAAGAGTAGATTCTTGTATTTGAAGGGAGTTTAAAGAGAAAACAAAGTCTATGGGTTCCCATGGTCAAAGTATCTTTCCATCAATTATAGCCAGGGCCAATAGAAAATTGCGGAAATATTTGCCAAAAAGTGTGGAGAAATTTGACGGGTTTTGCAGAATAATAATAATAATCCTTGCATTTGATATAGCACTTTTCACGAAAGTTGATTAGTGCCATTGAGAGCTATATTTTACTGCCAACCCACATTTTTTCAATTTATTGATGAAGACTAAACACGGAGAACTAACACACATTGTTATTTAACACATCCTGCCTCTTGGGGCCTGTCACCGGACACAGACTCACAAACACACATATTCTCACAGAGAGAAAGACACAGGCCGCGCACACTCACACAGAAAGACACATGCACGCACACAGAAAAAGCCGCACACACAGGCACTCGCAAAAAAAGCCGCACACACAGGCACTCGCAGAAAAAGCCGCACACACAGGCACTCGCAGAAAAAGATGCGCACGCAGAAAAAGATGCGCACGCAGAGAAACACGCGCACGCAGAGAAACACGCGCACAGTCACACGCAGAGAAAGACACACACGCACACAGTCACACACAGAGAAAGACGCACACGCACACACAGAACATGCGTTCATTCAGACACTCACAGATACAGAGAGACACACTCAGACACACACATACAGACAGAGAGAGAGACACACAAACACACACACATACAGACAATCTCAACAGCGGGACCTTGGGACGTCCTCCTGACGTGAAAGGCGCTTTATAAATGGAATCTTGTTGTTGTTGTTGATGAGTGAAGCCTATTTCTGGCTTACACCTCCCCATGCATCCGCGTCTGGAGCTGCTCCACCCACAGTAGCGGCGTCGAGTAAACACCCGGCAGCAACTCAAGAGGCCAGGGCTTGGAGCTCACTGTGTGTGTACAGGCTTGTCGCGGAGGAGAGCGTTTGTAGCGATTTCTCTGCAAAATTGCAGCCGCACTTTTCTATTAGCCCAGGTTATAGCCCAGTACAGTACAGTAGGAGTCGTCACAGTTAATTATTCCATATGACTTACCTTTCCAGTTACATTATTGTCAGTCTGGCTCAGTTAGTAGCAAGCACTCTCTCACCTCATACAGAATTAGCTTGAATGAGAAGCATCCTACATTCATAGCAGTAATGGAATTCCTATAAAATGCTGCATTATAATTCAGTGTGAACACCTATAATTCATCACTAATGGACCTTGGATGGTAATAGAGTTTGTAGTCAAGAAACAACACAGAATAGAGAGAACACAGAATATCCTCATTCTTCTCTTCAATAGAAAGACATAGTATAGTATTGATATCTGGCCAAAATACCTTTTCCGAAAGAGTGTACGCCGATAAATGTATGGTTGTGATTTGCCTCTAATAAAGATTGTTGAAATTGACAGACACTAATTGTGGAGTCTCACTCCAATCAAACAGCTCACGAGAGATCCTCTCAATTTTCTTACGATGAAAGGCTGGGAGAGACTCAATCTAAACAATTGGCAAAGAGGTTAGCCTTCAAATGAAACAGAAATCTATTGTTTTTCCTTAAGTTGAAAGTTCCTCTTTTTGCAGAGCACAAGACTCATTGAGACATAGACCAGGTTACAAAGAGCATGTGTTTACAAACCTCGAAAAGTTCAAATCTTGTTTCCTTGACCGGTTAACAAACAGCTATAACTGATTTTGAACAGAGAAAAACAAGCTGACAAATAGTAAGGAAGCAGATTTTAAAGTGTTGAAATGGATGAGGCCATGGAAGAGTTGTTCCAACAGTATCAAAATACCTTAAGAATTCTTGTTCCTTGCTATGTTTTCTTCCCATAACCTAACCGGTTAGCTAGACTCAGGATTTGATGATGGGACCAATCTACTAAAGATAATCATATTGGGTCCTTCGAAGAATTAAAAAAGTCAGAAAGTTGCAGTCTCAAATCCCACTCTGTACCAAATTACCAGATGAGGACTTCAATTAGTCACAGTAGCCCTGGATTGGGGACAGAGAAGAAAACCAAAAGCAGCCAAGGCACCCTAACATTTACTTTCTGGGCACAGACATAAAGAATCACGGCTTGGGTGAGGAACTAAATGAATGGACCCAACAATACAAAAACATTCAGATCTCCAGTTTGCTGCGAAATATTTCCTATGCATGTATTACCCAGAGCAGCCTGGTAAGGCGCTAAGTTCACACATTTCTCCTCTTCACAAGGAATGATACTTTACCCTTAGAAAGGGAGCAAAACAGTATAGAAAAATTCTTACTTGCAGAATTTGAACAATATTTTTTCAAAAACCAGAACGGGTCCTGTGCTTCCCAATATTGTAAGTGGCTGTCCAGCAAATAATGAATAGGCAATTCCTGTCATTGAGGCTCCAAGGAGAGATTCTATTGCACTCTGTAAGAATAACAAAAATTTCATGTATGTAGTCCAAACCAGTTATTCATTTCTCAGTGTTCAACAGAAGGGTTATCTGTATGCTTTAAGAATCATTGCTATTGCTAAAGCACATGTTGTCCTGATTATGGTAAGTAATTATTACTGTATTAGTGAATCCCACATCTGATTTGAATGAAGATCCTCCATACGTTCTTGCAAACTACACATGCCTGGATTCAAAAGTCTTCCATTTTCGTATTAAAAGTTATTTGGAATGTACTGAATAATAAATTAACTTTCAATCTTAACTGCATTGTCTTTCATACAATATTCACAGAAATGCTGCCATGTGGGAAGTTTCAAAGGGCTGATTCTCTTTCACCAGCCTCAAATCTGTTGGATTGTAGAAAACAATGGAACATAAACCATTACAAACAACTCTTACTTTACTTTGCTTCCAGTCACTTCATATAAAAAAAACTTTGTGTGATCAAAAGATGGAAAAAATTACATATCTTTAAACAAAATCCCTCAGGATTAATTCACAATGCTGGAATTATGCCACATAAGATATAATAATAATACTTAAAACCAAGTAAACCAAGTCAGTGGAAATTAATCATGTGTAGTTTGCCCATTCTGTGGAAAGCTCAATCTGTGTAAAATTTAGTAAGATGCAGACTTACCACTTTACAGTAATGGCCAATTAGATCCAATTATTGGCCACCATATTTAAAGAGTTGCCCTTCAATTATTGGATAAAAATGAAATATTTTTATTTTGTAAAAGACACTTATTTTACTTTCAAATCTAACAGTTTGTGATGCTCATTTGAAGCCCCAGCCCCCACACAAAATGGATAGAAACATAAAATCTACAGCGCACAAGGTGGTCATTCAGCCCATCAAGCCCGCACTGTCGCACTGAGCAAGGATGTTGCTTCAATCCCACCACCAGCAAAATTTGAAAAATGGTATCCTGGCATTTCCAAATAATGTAACAGTTGCACCACATGCATTCAGAACATACTGCTGCACATGCACAAAGCAGGAAGCAACTTCGGTGGTGACCTGATGCCCTGGAAGTTGGCCATTTGTTTAGCACATGAAGCTAAAATGGCTGACTTTCTATCAACAGATCCCATCCAAGCCATGAAGTTTATGTAGCAGTAGCTTCAGGTAAATCATCCTCACTTTTAGTCCCTGATGAAGGTAACAATGACTGAATGACGAGGCAAGGCAAATCATCCTTGCATGTTTCTGTCAGCACTAAGAAATTTCACAAGATTAAGGATGTCAAACAATTATGACTGTAATTTAAACTAAATTCATTTAAAATGATTAAAGTTTGAGGTGTTTTACAGTTTGGTAAACTGAGTAGTTTGCTCAATTTATCCCTCTCTCCTCATCTCACAGTATTTTTCCTCTAACAGGTACAGCTTCATGAGTGGCAGGTAACGTCCCTCAGTGGCAGGCTCCCACTTTTCTTCATAGCTTCCATAGTTTACTACAAATCTAAGAAAGGATTTACAGTGGGAATACACCTTGTGAATAGTTTTGTAATGTAATTTGAATCTAGCGAGGAAGCAGAATGCTAAAATACTAGAGAATCCTTGAAAATAATACATGGAAGTATTAAGTACTTACTATTTTATTATCTGTAGCTTCTCCTAGTAACCCTCCAAATGTGATGACAGGAGACATGCAGGCACAATAAAGGAAAAGAATGGAAGCTAGGCACTGCAGGCTAAATGCATCCTTGTAGTCACTCAAGTAAAATGGCAATTTCCGTTTGACATCAAGTATTAAGCCACCAAAGAACCTGTGGGGCAATTTAACATCTAGTCACAAAACTTTGGAATTCAACAGTTTTAAAAAGCAAACACAAAAATGATCTGTATCAACTCAGTGGATGAGCCAATGTGTGATGCATGGATTTTAATAGACAAATGTGAAGGAATACATATTGTAAGAAACAGTAAATACAGAATGAAGCGGTATTGATTAGCAGTGGATGAGACGATTTGGGTTTGATTGTCATCATTCCCTGAAGGTTTCCACCCAGTGTAAAGCTGCTGTCAACAAAACTAATACTTGATAGTCAAATACTCCATCATTTGAAATGCACTATTCAATTGTTACATAACTCATTGTGATTGCTGTGTTAGGATCAATGGGTGCAGGTTTTGGTACCCCACCTTCAGGGTATCATATCACCATAGCATTGAAGAATTTGAGTAGCTTTCAAAGAAGAACAAGTTTGATTATGAGATTTAATGCTCTAAATTATGAGCTGGCCAATGATTTCTTTGTTACTTGAGTTGGAGTTGGTAACAGGAAAAGTGGAGACCAGGTTTAAACAGTAGAGCTATGGGGATGAATGATTTTTGATGAATTACCATTATGTTCAGGAAGTTTCTATATGGAAGTTTCTCCCTAGCTATAGTGTGAGTAGTCTATGATAGGGTAAGAGTGGAAGCAGCAGGCTTGATGGGTTCACTTGCCTTTTTCCTTACGTCCTTATAGATAGTGTTACAGAACAGTTAATTCCAGAAACTAAGCATTGGAGCATATTGGTTCACATCCAAAGCTCGCCATAAATTGAGTTCTCCATTTTAGCCATGCAGATAAGGAAGGCAACATGCATCCACAGCCGTACTTCAGCTAGTGGGAAGTTGCCTGGGAAATAACACATACAAACAAAAGGAGGGAGGGGTGAAAGCTATATAAAGAACCTTTTTGGGGGGGAATGGAGTTGGCAGCAACTTGGGTGTAGCTTTAACGTTGCTGTTATTTTCTATAACAAGTGACACCAAGGCTTTGTAGAAACGTGAAAGATACATCATTTTTCTGATACATGCCTCTGACAATAACCACAAAACATGCTCACATTGGAGGAAAGAGGGGGTAATAAAAAGGAAAATAATTACATTCTGCTAAACATTCAATGATGTATCAGGGCAGCTCTGCAGTAGCTGCTTTCAAAATTTGCAAACCACTGAACCCCATTTCATACCCGAAATAAATGCTTTTGTAGTGATTAGTGCATAAAACCAACCTTCCAGTACGTGTAAGTTCTGGCCCGGTGTGATCCTCCACATGTTTCTGCATCTCATTAATAAGCGGTGAACCATTTGGAAGAGGAGGAAGCTTTCTTTTTTCCTTTTTTAAATAAAGACAGGTGTAAAGAAATTAGTTTTTTTTTAAACAAATAAAATCTCAATATTGTGTCCCCAATTTACACTCAGCATCTTCTAATCTATTGGCAACTAAAATGCATTTACAGATTGGTTTGGATGAAGGAAGCCGTTTGGCCCATTTGATCCTTTCCTTCCTGGACTTGTATAAAAAAAACATTTTGAACATGTCCAAGATTTTATAGATTTAGTATTGCTCGTCAGTAGCTGCAGGAAAATGCGCAAAATTAAAATAAAATCTATTTTCCATTGCACTTACAAATATGAGGTTTATTAAATGGAATGAAAGAGAATTATAGAATTAAAAGGTATTTATAGAAATAAATAAGAGAATTATAGAAATAATTCAGGGAATACATGTATGCACAACTGTTCTTCTTCAGCTAGTGACAACTCGTCTGGGAAACAAAAGGAGGAGGAAACAAAACACAAAAACTTTGCACTTAACAAAGGAATGTCCCAAATTTCCAACAGGAATCGCTGGATAACATTTGGGAGCAGAAGCTGTGACTCCTCCTCAAAGAGCTTTACAGGATTTACTATTAAGTGTAGTGACTGTATTTTTTAGGCAAATGTTTCTGCTCGTAGCCTTGAAAGCAAAGACTAACTGCAGTTCCTCTCCCACCTGAGAACGGTTAGCTCAGCATAGACCAGCAACTGACCCTGGTATCTTCAAGGTGTGCTTTCCTCAGTATCACGTGCATTTACCCCACAAAACCATTTGGGAAGCTTCGAATTGGAAACCAAATTTTACATCAATTATTACTATTACAATAATACAGTACTTGCAATTAATATAGCATCTTCATGTCAAAAAGCTTGACAGGATTTACTATAAAATGCAATGCGGCAACCTATAATTATTATAACCAAACTTCTAGCATATGCGTGACATTTGCAGTATAAAAAGGCACTAAAGACTCCTTTTTGTAGGGTCAAGTTTTGAATAACGTAATGATAGAGATACAATTCCATCTTATTAGACTAACAAAATTCTCATTGTTCCATAAGTAGTGGTTAGAACACTTACGTCACAAGCGAGAGGATCCAGTTTGATTCCCAGGTGGGGCGAAACCTTAATTCACATTTCTGTTTACCTAGCAGTAAGTAGGAACCTTGTTGTTATTATTATTCTCACCTGAGAAGGAACACATTTTGGTGGTTCAATTCGTATGGAAGGGTCCCATTCGCCTGGTGGGAGAACAGTAACTTGATCTAAAAATTCATCAATTCCTGCCAGTAGGTCTGTACGATCCTTTGCTCTGTAAGCAACATCGTGAAAAACCTTGATATGAAACAAAAATGGATAGTGAGGAAAATGACTAGATTCTCACAACTATTATAACTTTGAAGGGTGACCATTTGTGGGATTAAGCAGTCTCCTTGGGTTGAGATGGCTTAAAGGTATCGTGCTTAGCAATGGAATGTCACAACATAGATTGTTTTTTGACAAGCACTGGCTCATTACTGTGGTCAGTTTGGAAATCGGATGGGAGAGGCTTGCGTAGGGAGTGGAGGGAAAGATGAGCAAAGTTGGTTGGCAACCGCTCATTCCAGGACTTTCGACTTGAGGAGGGGGGTGCGATGATAGATATTTTGATGTGGATGTGCCTGAGGTTATCTGTGTCTGCCTGAAGGGGGGCATCTGGGTGGTCAGTCACTGAGTTGGGAGAGGTTCAAGTCAGCAGTAGTGGGTTTTATATGGGTAAAGCAGAGGAAGGAGAAATGGGGGCAGTAGAGTCGTGGCAATAAGAGGAGCAGTGGTAGGGGATGTGGGGAAGGTACAAGACATAGGAGAAGGAAGAGAATGCAGCCAAGCAGACATCGTCTATCTTTGATAAGAAGAGTATTTGAGAAGTCATGGCGGGAGATAACAAAAGCATTTATGAGGGCTTCGGCAGCATTTGATTTGAGGGAAGATACACAGGAAGACTCCAATCTTGGGTGGAACCATATGAGAAAGTCGGTCTGTTTTAGATTCTCTCAAGCATGGTGATGTGTTTCAGTTGACCAAACAAGAGTTACTATCAATGATGAAGTACACTAACGTTTGCAAAAGTTAATGTTTTTGGTTGCTAAGATTACAAAAAGAATCAGCAGATTTAACTGCTCCTGATTTATCCTTTAATTCAAACAGAAACTATGCTGTAGACATATTATTTACTATTACAAATTTGAATGACTTGCCAATAAACCAAGAAGCTCATCCAAGGACTATCGTTGTACACGGTGTATACTGGGAATCAGTTTGGGCCAAAAGTAACAAATGAAAAATATTCAATATTTCATTTAAACCTAATCACATTGCTAAAGATTACATGGTTCATTTATCTTGTAAGTTTTCTGAACAGAAAAGTCAACTTGCCTCATCTGTCATTAGAGTAGCTATCGATCTACCAATCTCGTGATACTGCTGTGCTTTTCCAGATGGACCCAACATCAGAAACAAAAACCTAAGTGAAGAAACCAAATGCACATCACAGTATTTTCATTTGTTAGAATTCTTATTGACAAGCACATCAAGATCATAACGTTAAAACAAGACAAAGCAAGAAATGGTCAAAAGGGATATTATACTTTGATTTTTTGGATTTTAAACGTAGGAAGAAGGAAATATTGAGGGACGATAATGCTTCTAGAGTTTTGAGGTAATGAAAAAAAATCAACTCAGTGAAAACAGAATAGGTTTTAACTTAATTGGTGTAAGGCAACTTATCTAGAACTTCAGACAAGAGATAACAACAGTATTATTGGTAAAAGTGAGAAAAACAGGTTAGCATGCAGAAAGGTGGGCTCAAAGTGAGAGAAGGATAACCCAACATTCCATGAGTACAAGAGAGACGTAAGAAAAGCCTTCTCAGATATGGATATAGTAATTGATAAACTTTGCATTGTTTACAACAGCTTTCAAGTTGAGAGGATACCTCAAATTACATCACAGGATATACTTCGAAGTGTAGTGACTATATTGAAGTCGAAATAGTGTTCAAGTCCTGGCAAACCTGAGCTTTATAGCGAATTAAAGTTATTGAGGGAGAAAAGAAATAACACTGTAGCTAGCATGAGGACCTCATGGCATGAGGGTACCCTACACCCGTGCCATGTCTTGCTCCGCCTTCTCCCACTTTCGCAACATCACCTGGTTCTACCACTCCCTCCCCTCAGGCTGGCAAAACACTTATCCACGCATTTATTACATCTAGGCTCATCTATGCCAACTTCCTGCTTGTCGGCCTTGCCAACTCTTCCCTCCACAAGCTGCAGATCATCCAGAACTCTGCAGCTCATGTCCTCTCCCACACCAGGCTCCATGACCCTATAACCCCCATCCTCGCCCAACTCCACTGGCTCCCTCCTCCCACAGAGATAAAACCTGTGTTTTAACCAATAATCTTCATGTGTCCTTATCTACCTGGCTCAGTGGGAGATCCGGACTGCATTGGTGTCAGCAGCCATCCACAAAGGTACGAGCAGGCAGATAGTGGAGGTCGAGCGAGAGCCAGAGGCCAAGCCAAAATGAATGGTTAGAGCAGGGGAGGGGAATGCGAGTACATGGGTTTGTAAAAGGGGTGACACTAACTGCAAGGCCAGGTGCCTACACCCCTCTTGACTTATGTGACTGTTACAGTTGCAGGTTTCCTACCCTAGAGAGATTAACAATACTTTTATACAATTATACTTCCAGCAAAATGTAGTATAAACCTTGAAATATGCTGTTCAATTTTGTTGATGATCACACACGTTTAATTTTTTTCATCTGAAGCTTGGCCGATACCTTAGACAAACTAAACGCACGGCACACACTCCACTGATATAAAGCATCACTATTTCGAAATTTAGAAAGCAAAAGTACTTAATTGGTTGTATTTAGTCTACTTGATTTATTCCATGTAAACAGAATTCTACCAAACTGCAATATATAATAATCTTTGGAATTGATTTAGCACTTATTACGACGTCTCAAAGCAGTTCACAGAACATACTATAAAGTGGATTGACTGTATTTTGTGGACAGAACGGATTCAGATATATGGAATCCGCTTTAGGCGGGCGCCAGTTAACCTCGGACATCGGGTAAATTGAACGTACGGCCCCGATTCATTTGTATTCTTACCATTTTTAAACATGCCTGTTAATTTGGACAAATATATTTTATATATTAATATTTTAAAAAATATACATTCAAATGTCACTAAAATGTTAGCTATGAGATACAACTCCCACAAATAAGTACTTACCATCAATGAGTACTACAAAAGGTATGAGGAAGGTATTTATCTGAATATTCCCACTCTTAAGATTAAATTTTAAACTGCATTGTCATGATAAATTCTTTCATAATCTTTGAATGTACAGCAGTTCAAACCACACATCTTCATTCATTGGCTTGACATTTCAGAATTTTTTTTAATGATTCACTTCCTTTATTATTGCTGTCACTTTACAAAAAGGTGCATTCCCACAACAAGGCTCACATGTTGGGGGGACGGGAAGGAGGAAGAATGGGAGCTGAAAAGAGAGAACAAGGCAGTCATGTGCACTCACGGTACCAAGCTCTTAAAGGTGCAATATGGCTCAGTTGGTAGCACTCTCGACCAAGTCAGAATGTTGTGGGTTCAAGCCCCAATTCAGGACTTGAACTCACATAGTCTAGGCTGACCTCCAATACAGTGCTGGGGGTGTGTTCTATTGTTGGAGACACTGTCCTTCAGATGAAACACTAAGTAGAGGTCCCATCTGACTGTTCAGGCAGACATTAAAGATCTAAAGCACTATTCAAAAAGAGAAGGAAATTTCTCCCGGTATCCTGGCCAGCAATCCCCCAGATAAAATTAAAAATCCATTTCATGGTTGGTTGTGGGACATTGCTGTTGACAACTGGCTGCCAAATCCACCTACAAATACACTGTCACTCCACTTCACAGTGAATCCTGTGAAGTGCTTTGAGACCCCTTCCCAAAAGGAACTGTACCAAATACAAGGATTATTATTAGTTTCCCAATGGGTGCATTTTTCCCTTTTGAATGATTGCCTATTTGTACATTGAGATATAGAAAATTTGAGGGAAAATTTGCTTCTATTGCAAAGTACTGCAGACCCATTTTTCACCAGGAGTACATTACAAAAAATACAGAATCTTTTCACTTTCAATAGTGCAATTTATATCTGGTGTTTTATTTACCTTGTTGGAATAGGGACTTCTGTGAGTCCTGTGAGAAGAATGGCAGGAGACAGTCGAATAAAGGCTATGATTGATCTCTCAAGGAAATCCACCTCTCCCACCAGGACATTGGATGCCTCAGCACCTGGTGGAATCTTCCTCATAAAGTTCATGTCCACCTACAGAAATTATAGGGGCAATAGTAAATGTTAATTGCAGTTCAAAGATCTTAATACGTGAAAACAACTCATAAATAAAATAGTGCCATGATTGTGCATTCAGTCTGTAATCAGAAGTGTTGCGTGTGTGCCTTTGTTTTCCATCTTGCAAGCCTAACCAGTCAGAAGCTTGGTCGTCTAAAATGTCACGATTAACTTTCCTGACTATATAGACAAGTCTCCAACCATATACTTCTTTAAACATTACTATCAGATGCTAAAGTAAATGCACAATTTTGTCAATTTCTCTCTAACTTTAAATTATATTACACTCTCTTCCTTAATCCCTCCGCGTTGCCCTATTCCTCCCCAACTTCAAATCCCGCCTAATGACCTTTCTTTTTGATACGCTTATGGTTATTTCCCCACTCCCTCTCCCCCTAGCTCGTTGTCAGACTCCTCCACTGCAAAGCGCTCTGGGACACTATCCCGCCTGAAGGGCACTATATAAATGCAACATGTTGTTGTTGTAATGGTTATATTTCTATTGGGAACAAATGTAGCTGACACCATACAAGTGCGTATTAGAGAGGTTATGTTTGGTTCTCTATGAAAAAGGTACTAAATTAAATGTGTTACGTTGGAAACCGTCAGCGTTATAGTGAGAGGCAGCTACTTGAGTTCAGTTGATAAATTATGCTCGTTGAATTTCAACGAAAAACACTAATTCAAAACAATAACCAAATATCAAATACTGAACATTTACACCAAAATATAACTATCACCACACAATACTGAAGATTCAACACATGTCTTAATTTCAAAACACAGACCAAAACAACGCACAACAACTGTACATTAGGAGCCACAGAACCAAACACTTACTGTGGGCCTCTTGAGTCTCGTACCAAGTGCGACACAACTACAATGCCAGGAGTCAGACTCCTGTCCATTAAGGAGGCATATAGAGGGAGGGGCAAAAGAAGAAAAACAAAAGAAAAGGGGGAAAAAAAGAAAAAAAGTCATAATAGAGATGCTGGCAATAAGATACCTGCTTCAATTGAGGTACAAGGGAAAAAAATTAATTCAAACTTTAACTAAAGGAAAGAAAGTGGGTTTCAACACACAATTTAAGAAATGTTGAGTCAACTGTAAAAGAAATATCCAGGTCAAATTGACTGAAAGAATATGCAGCTATATTGTACTTGATTGCAATTTAAACAATAATAATCAAAGCTTTGTTTTGAAGTAAACTCAATGTAATTTACCATGGTGGCAACTATCATTCAGGGATTAGATAGACATGCCGAAGGAGAAGGTACCGCTCTGTTGTTGGCAGTCCTGCACTTGTAGATACTTTACAGATGCAATGAAACTATTAAAGATCAACTTTATTTTATTATTTGATTAAAAAGGTCAATAATCTCAGCAGTGCTGGTGGAGAGTTGCATATTAGAGGTACTTTCCTTCAGTTGAGATACTGAAACGAGGTCCTGTATGTCTGTTCAGGACAGGTAAAGATCCCATGGCACTATTCAAAAAGAGAAAGGAGTTTCTCCCTGTGTCCTAGTCAATAATGCTCCAAGTAAAATCTGTGTCACTCACTACACGGATGTTCATGGGTGATTATGATGTGCAAATTGACTGCCGAGTTTGCTACAATAGTCAGTACAGTATACACTGTGAAATGCTTTGAGACATTGAAGATGTTATATCAAATGCAAGGATTGTTATTTATTTGAAGTTCTCATAGGTGACCTTTTCGGTGGCTAGGTGGTTTATAAAATGATCCACTAATATGATGGACAATAAATGAGAAGTGCTGTTAGACTTACTTTGAACATCTAAAATTGCCCATTATCCTCCTACAGACAGCTAACAATCCTCTGATAAGCAGAACATGTGGACACAAGCAAGATTACAAGAAAGAGTCTTCAAATTCTCAATAGAAGACAAGATAGCCATTATATTCACAAAAATAAGCCTCGTATGCTATCACCCAGTGATTCTGAATCATCAGAACAGACTCTTTCAGAACATTAAATCGTGGTTCTATTTTTATAATCATAATAATCCTTGTATTTGATATAGCGCTTTTCATGTCTTCTCGATTTTTAAGATTCAAGGGCACAATGTAAGACTCCCTGTAAGAAGGGAGTCTTTTCTTTTCCTGTTTCATATTGTTCTTCATTACATATTTATCCAGTTCCCTTTTACGTGTTACATTCTTTGCTTGTCCATTTGTAAGAATGAATTGGATGGAAGGTTATAGCATGGAAATAGGCCAATCGGCCTATTGGAGAGAATACAGTATGAATTTACAAAGATGTTTTCAAGGATATGCAGATACCGCTATTGAGAAAGAATGGACAGATTTCAGCTTTTCTTCCCTGGAGATGATTGAGGGGGGACCTGATAAGAGATGCGTAAGATTAACATGTCCGTGCCATTATTTAAACTGAGCCTCCACTCCTCCTAATCCTATCGTATATACTCTCCCATTCCCTTCTCTCTTGTGTTTGTAATGTTTCCTCTTAAGCAGGTTGACTCTTTTTGCTTCAATCACATCTTCCACATTCTCACCACCCTCTATGTAAAGAGCAAAATTCCCTTTTAGCTCTGTTAGTGATTATGTTATATTTACGTCCTCTTGTTTTGGTCTGTTAGTAAATAGCCTGTTAACATCCACCTGCCATACCCTTTCATAACTTTAAACACCTCTAACAGGTCCCCTCTCAATCATTTCCTCCAGTGAAAAAAAAATCTCTAAGCTGTCCATTCTTTCTTGATAGCTGTATCTGCTCACCCTTGATAACATCCTAGTAAATCCACACTGTATTATTCTCTCTAATGCAACAATTTGCTTCCTGTAATACGGCGGCCAAAACTGCATATCCAAATACAGTCTAACCAAGGTTTTATATAAATTTAACATTACATTTCTATGCTTGTACTGAGTATGCAAATATACAAAACCGTGTATGTGGAGGTTGAACATCAAAGAATGAGGAAACCCACACACCTTTGGCAGATAAAATGTTAACATTCTTCCTCATTTATAAAAGTGGGTAGATCAAAGGAGCTCAGCCATCAAAGGCCTGAATTCTGATGACCTAACCCTTGAAATCCGCTTGAAGCATTGTAGCACTGAAGCAGTTATTGTATTGAGCAATTCAGTTACGTCAATGCTTGGTTGAAATTAGCAGCTGCCTTACAGATCCACTGAAAGGTAATCAGCACATTGGCTCACAAATACAGTCTGCTCTGACCTTTCTTGGTGAGCCTCACCCAGTCAAGGAGTAACATAAGGAGCTAGTTTGGTCAGTTTTTTAAAAAAAAATGGGATATCCATGTCGTTGATCCCAAATGAAATTGATCAATGAAAATCTTTCATCAGCATATAGTTAAACAATGTACACTTATAAAGCACCTTTCATATTGGGAATATGTTTGCAAAGGCTGAGTGGGAATCGGAGTTGGAAGGGAGCTCAGGGATGAGGATGGGGTGGCAGAAAGCTTGGCCAAAAACAGTCAAATATGTAGGTCTTCAGGCCGGATTTGACAGCAGAGAGGGAGAGGGCATAGCAGACAGGTTTCAGGAGAGAGTTTCAGCAGGAGAGGGAAAAGTAGCTGGAAGCTTGCCAATCAATGATAGAACTGGCATGGGGCACGAAGCAAGCTGAGGTTGGTGGAGCTGAGGGAGTGGCTAACGGTCCTATGAGGAAAACGTGTGTACCTCACTTTTTATCTTGGAGTGACAGAATATTTATTATCCTATTTATTACCCTTCACTCCCATATAATGAAGCTCCTAGAATATTAACTGTAACCTCACCTATTTCTCCCTTCCATTCCCATCGAGGGTTCCTGCGTTTATCTCATCAGGGCTATTGACCGGAGACATTCAATTCCTTGACTTCATAACATGACCAGCAACAATTTACACTGATCTTCAAGTACTAACCAGTGAGCACTAACTTTTGTCTTCAATAGGTTTGATTTTTGACAAATGTGCTGCATTTGCCACACCAATAAAGAAGAAAAATCTAAAAGCAGCAAACAGCTTAATAACCTTTACTTTCTAGCAATGTGGCTCCCATTTCTACTACAAACCTAAGAAAAACCTTGGCTTTCTAGCAACGTGGCTCCCATTTCTACTACAAACCTAAGAATGTGAAGCACAGCCGTAAGTTTTACAAAATACATTCTAAATTTGAATAAAGGATAAGCTCTCCAGTATTAGACAATGATTCTAAAGAACTGTTTTCTCTCTCCTCGTCTCCCTCCCCACATCCAACACAACCAGTGGAACTTATTTTTATTTATTATTTTTCATATGACGTTCACATAAAACTATGCTTATTTCTGGTTATAAAGATTTGGAAAAAGCAGTTTTGTACAAATGAATATTTAAAATCAGGCCCAGTCTTGACGATCAGTGCAAACTGACAACATTAGCAAAATTAAGTTTCAGGTAACATTATTCAGAATGTTAGCAGAATTCAGTCCCAATATTTTAATAAGGTGTTGGTGTAGAGAACAACAGAACTTAAATTGTCTAAATGACAATGAACGCTGCCAATGTAATCTAAACATGGTATCAAGCAGCATAGTGTACAGTACAACAAAGTGAAAAGTGCATAAAAGAATACTTTAATATCGTCTTTACTAAAATTATATTCACATAAAAAAGATCCACTGCAAGATGATATAAAAAGTATTGGGTATATATGCATTAGTATTTTGTGTAAAATAATTACCTTGCTGAAGTCTACTGTGCTATTTTCTCTGCTTGCGCTATGACCAGTTGTTTTACTTTCCACACACTTAGCTTCCAAGATTCCTGGCGCAGAATGAGGAGATGCTAGAAGTCCTATTGCAAATGAATAAAAAAAATTAGCAAAGTTACATATAAAAGATAAGGCAAGCAACTGTGATAAGCCAAACAAATCAACGGTTAGCTATGACACACACACACACAGTGTTGCAGTGATGCTGAGAAATGAATCCAATGCTAAAAAATGTGATCAAGTAGCATATTAATATGAAATATTCTACATCAAACACAACAAAGACGCTCATTGCAGGTGTACCTCCTTTACCCCAAGCATTAAGCCATTCAAGAACTAAGGTTTTCATTATGTGTCATTCATTTCAAAAGGTCTACAAAGGACAAAGTACAATAGCAGATAAGTCCCAAAACCTCTCTGCACAAGCCAAATAACGCAATAAATTCAACACACAAGTCAAAACGGGCTAGAAAATGAAGAGTCAAAAGGAAGCGGCACACATTCAGTTCCACTCAAGCATTTATCCATTCAACATTACAAATTAATCTTTCAAAACATATCACGCGTTGTCTGTTAGGAAAAAATATATATACAATTCTCATGGCACTCATTTTATGGCTGCATCACAGCCCACTATTATTGACCATTATGTTGCCTTTAGAAGAAACACAGGATCACAAAGAGGCATTAAAGCAATATAAGATATGCTAAGAACAAAGCACAGAACAAGAGACCATTCAGCATTGAATCCCATTATGTAAATAGACCACATTAACGTTTCTCATCCTGTATTTTAACCATACCAAGTCTCCTAATAAAGATCACGAAGGCCATTGTAACACACTGTGGAGAGCAATTGAATTTACATCCACTCTGTATGACCATGGAAATCTAAAAACCCTGCAACTCTACAGATGGAGCTAAGGAAACTCTCCTGCAAGGAAAATACTGATGGTAAGCAGTGTTGAATTGATTAAAAATTATTAGATTACTTCATCAATCAACAGTTTGCGTTGTCATCACCTGGAGGATACTGTATCACACCTCGGGTCTCTAGACAGTTGAACAGCATTTTTGGTAGCATTATTTTGACCTCATATTATAGGAACTGAGTTTTGGCTGATCTTGAGAAGTGCTGGGTCTCAGTGCATAATTACCAGAGCAATTTTTTTCTTAGGTTTCAAAGATATGTATTTCTTCAAATCCATTATAGACTGTTATTAAGTAAGGAAAAAATCCAGCTGAAAACTTGTTCTTTAAAGATGCAGATGAAGTGATAAATTGCTGCAGTGGCACACTGAAGTTAGTTGTTCATACAGAACAGTTGCCAGCACATTTAAGGGAGTCATTAAATATCAGGGCTCTACTGACGTTCATAAACCATTTGCAGTTTAGGTCATTAGAACCGCATGGTTGATTTGTACCAAACAATCCATCATTGGTTTCCTAGTTTGATTTTTCTTTGCTTTAGTAAAAGCTTAATAGTGATGGTAACTGTACTTCATTCTGATCGCTAAAACACATGGATATGAATGGAATTTATGCAATTTTATCTTCTAGTGATTGGCTGGGGGCTGCAGGAGGGAAGGGAGATTGCATTAAAAAAATCTCTTAATAAAACTTTGTTTTAAAGTAAAACATTACTGAAATAACCTATTTATATACATAGCAGATTAAAAAAAAGGTTTGCCTAAAAGATTTGCCCTTGTACCATTAAGTGTGGAAAACTTCATACCAAAATGGAGATTACAACTTGCACTTATATAATGCCCTCCATGCAGGGTAGTGTAACCAGAGCATTTAACAGTGTCGATGGTGGGGTGGGGAGGTGGTCCTAAGCACAGTCGAAGAAGAAAGCTTTCTAGTGGGACTTGAAAAAGGAGAGAATAGTTTCAAGGCGAAGGAATTAAGGGAAAGTGTTCCAGAGTTTCGGGGCGTAGTGGCTGTGTGGGGCAGAGGGTGAGAGGGACGAGCAGGAGGCCGATGCCAGTTGAGTGGAGGCGCTGGGTGGTGGATTGGGGAGTGAGGACATTGGAGAGGTAGGGAGGTGCCAGAGAGTAAAGGGAAGTGATATCGGTTTTAACTGATAAAGGCCAATAAAACACCCCCAATACTAAAAAATTAATCCAGAACAAACAGCACAAAAACCCCCGGAAACTGTGTTCTGAGGTGAGGCTCTCTCTCTCGCTCTTGGCGATGTCCTGGTTTGTCCTGGTCCCGACTGTGCACGTGTCGCTTGCTGCTTCTCCCTCTCCTCCAAATGAACAGCCGTGTCTGGTGAAGTGTTTGAAAGGAGGGAGGCACTGGACATGGGTGAGGACACCTCCCTCCCCTCAGTCTTCTCAGGACTCTAATGAAATCCCCCTTAAAAAAACTGATTTAAAAACACTAAAATTGCTTCAAATAGTAAAAAACTTAATAAACCCCCAAAATCATAAGCCCTACTTATGATGGACCATGTCTCACAATGAAAAGTTGAAACAACAACCTGAATCTTATTCTATCAAACATGTTTGTATTGTGCAGTCTCCTGGACCACAGCATATAAACGTGTGTGAGAACAACTCACTAACTCACTCACAAACCCTAATACAACAGAATTAAAAAAATTACTTGAAAGGGTATCCGCATCAGAACATTTGCTATTTTTGACTTGTGTTACTAAATTATAGCCATGTAATTTAACACTAATCAAAAATATTCAATCATTCAAAGGTCAACAGTGCTACAGAGACAGTAAATCTCCTAGAATATGCAAATTTTCTTAAAAAAAAGATTGAAAGTACACAAAAGTAGTCCATTTGATACCTCCAAATTTGAAACAAACATTTGGCAGTCACTTGCAATGTTGTTTCAATGCAAAATAACACGAAAAAGTGTAATATCTTAAAATTAATCTCACAAGGATTTGATGACACATAATGCATACAATTTAGCTACATATCCCATAAAAAAACTAGTAGTTAAATGGAAAACATACAAATGTGATGAGTTTACTGAATGATTATATAGAAATGAATTACAAGAACATGCTTAGGTGATGTTACTTCCTTCACAATTAGCAGATTACAACATTAAAACGTATTAATAAGACATGCTAAAGCTATGTGCCCCAACCATACTCCATTGCTGGTGTTCCCCATGCAGAAAGCTACACAACTATTACGGATATTTGCCTGCTCTCTGTTCACATTCTTCATGTACTTTCACCTGTCCTTCCTGTACCTCTAAATCTTCTTCGGGGGGGTGAACTATCACATCAGGAATATCGTCACCGGCACAAGACACCAGTACTTGGCTTTGACCCTGAGAGCGATGCTCGAGTACTGGAGTGGAGGGTGGTGTATTTTGAGGGGTGAGCATGGGAGTTGCACACCTTGAACCTGCTGGGGATCCACCCTTGGTACCAGGTAGAAATGAACCAAATGCAACAGAAATACGAGAAGGTCCTCTTAAGGAAAGACTTGAAGCAGAAAGGCCAGCTCGGAGTGAAAGACGGGAGGCAGAAAGGCCTTCCCCTATCATCAAAATAAAAAATGAAGAGGAAACAGTGAGGTTCGTAAGAAAATAGAACACAAATAGGATTAAAAACCATCATCACCCATGCATGTACAAATAAATGTTACGCAAAATAGGTCAACTCAAGATCTGCAACAGCTCGTGAGTGATGCTTTAAAAGCATAAGGTTTTAGTATGTGAAGCGAACAACATACTGCATACGGACTTCTATTAAGTAAATCATCATAGCCATTAAATATATGGATTAATCTTTTGAACTGGTGAGACACCATTAAGAATTTTTCTAGTATTATTTATACTGTAATGATATAAAATGGGATTCCTAAGAAGCTACCTAAGATTGTTATTATCCTAAAAACTAAATTATATCAAGCTATTTATGGATTTTAAAACATCCAGTATTGATCACTGAAATACTTGATTTTCTGATGAGCTAGGACAAAGGATAGACTGCATACAACTATGCAGTTGTAGATCATATTTTTATAATAATTTTATAGTACGATAAGCAAAGTGCTTAAATCTTAAAAGAACAGGGCAACCTGGTTATAACATGGAGGTTGAGCTCCACACACTTTGACCCCACACATTAAAATGAAACACTCTTTCTGGGTCATCAGGTCACTACTAAGGTCACTTCCTGAACAAAGTGATACAGGCAGCATTTCCTGTGCACAGCACACATGTGCAGTGAACAATATCAGCAACACATCCTCACATTGGGCAAGGAAGTGAGTCACCATGCTGACGAAGGGTCGTGGACCCAAAACGTTGACTTACTTTCCTTTCTCCATAGATGCTGCCTGACCTGCTGAGTGTTCCCAGTGACTTTTGTTTCAGATTTCCAGCATCTGCAGTATTTTACATTTTGCTCACATAGGGCATAATGGGTAGGAAGTGAGGTCAGCGGTGACCTGAAAGCTATCCAATAAGTGCAGAAGCTGGGAGTAGTGCAGATCCACAGAGGACCTGTTATAAGTAGATCTGTGCTAGATCGGAGTTATCCTGTATTGGATGCAATTAATTCAGGATTTGTGATCATCATGCCATGGTATAATGTATTTGACGTAACAAATAAATTATAGAATGGAGAACAGGTTTGGTTTTAATACTTTTTCAATATACAGCAAGCCTCTGGCTTATCAGACTCCAGGTATCCCAAATTCGGATCTAGCCAGAAACGGAATTTTAAAAAACAATTCTGCGGGCCACATGTAAACTCCCCCTGGCCTCGCTCTCCTAGCGCTCTCTCACTATGCTGACCAGGCAGGGAAATTGATTGATTCAGTTTGAATTCCGCGAGCGCGAACATAGCCTATTCCCTAGCTTCCCTATCACGAGATTCAAACAAATACAATACCAGGATTTTGGAGGTTTATAGCCTTTTGGGGGTGTGGGGGAGGGGGTAGGATTTTTGACCTTCCCCATGCACAGTTGGTGAGGTTGGGATTTGCCTGCCCTGGTTGTCTCCCGAGATCATGGTGTTGACGGGGGGGGGGCCTTGCGGCTGCAATCGGACTTGGTTTTGGTTTGTAATTGGGAGTCCCTGGAGTGGTTCTTCTGCTGTTTCTGGGCCTATGCTTGTGCAGGGCACACAGATTTTCTGGGCTGCTTAGCGTTCTGGGTATGGTGAGTGGATGGATGGGTGCAGGGCTTTGTTCCCTTCTGCCAACGTTGGCAGGAGGTGGTGCTGGGCGGTTCTCTCTAGGGGCCAGGCCTTCCTCTCGTCAGCTCTCTTTCTGTGGCACCTTTTGATCTGGGCACACACACACACACACACATGCTCACATGTTCGCTTTTGGCTGTGTTACTGTTTTGATTGTGTTGTATATCGTGAGTGGGAAATGTTTGATGGGCCAAATATTTTGTTTCAATCTCCCGCCAGCCCACATGACGCCCACAGCTTGACACTAATTGATTTAACCATAGGCTTCATCAGAGCTGCATCATATCATTGGTGAGTGCAGAACTATTGTTAATCTATTTAAAATTCAGCTTTACTCATTTTAAATAATAGATAGGATTTATTATTACTTATTTTAAATGTTAAATGTAAGGATTAGGAGTTAGCTGGAAATTCCGGCTTCCCGGACCAGATCTCTCCCCCCATTAGTTCAGCTAGCTGGGGTTTATCTGTATTGAGTTTCCTCTAACTGATTAGAGATTCTGTCACTTGAAATGCTTCTTGAAAGCATTAAAAAAAACAGAATTCTGTTCTACTGCTATTCTTTGAATTTGTATCAAGTATTTGGTTTGTGTGGAGTAAATCTGTAGTTAACAATAAAGTTACAATCTATGCAAGTAAAATATACTGGAAGCATTACAGTACTGGCCAATAGAATCCTACAAAGCATTCGTACATAAAATGGACTCCTGAGTAACAAGTGTCAACGCATGCCAAAAGTGCACAAAACCTTCAATTCTGAACATTGGAAGCCAAGCACATGAGACAGTTTTTTGTTTTTAAGCTTCATCTGTGACCAACTGGTAAAAAGCATAGTTAATTAACAGATGTTCAAGCGTGCTGCTACACGACTGATATCAAAGGTGCATAATAACCTGAACAGCATACAAACACGTGTGCATACAAAGCTTATGTGAAACCATCCAACTACATGCTAACGAAAATCACTAAAACAGGACAGTTAACTGTGGTATGCGGTGTAACAAAGCCAAACACAAAGTTGCTACAAACATTTGTTTTCTGTAAATACCGGTTATTTGAAGTGTAATTATTCCGTAGACATTAAAAGAAATTGGACACAACAAAACATCTCACCGTTTCGCTCAAGCAAGTGAGGGTCAGAATGTTTCTTGCCTATATCTGCAAAGGAGCGAACTATAGGGATGCGGTTGCTCAGTTTCTTCTCACTCTGGTGGTGATGCTTTTTTAGAAGTGCTTCCCGCACTTTGTCTCGCATGGTCTCATTCAGGTGTCCAGATGCTATCATGTTGTCCAGCACCATATCTGAAAATTTCAGAGAGAAGGGAGGGAGGGAGGATTAAAATCAAACTTTAAGTGAAAATCACTACACTTGCCACACTGTAGAAAGTATATTTCCTCGAGCTACTGCAAATCACAATATATCGGCTCATGATAGTACAGAAAAGCCAGTAAGACAGTGACATTTACTGCTTTGCCACAAGCACATGTTTCATTGAGATTTTTAATTGTTCAAATCCTTATTAGAAAGAAGAATTCTGATGGAAGGGCTAATTATAAAGAGTGAATGAGGTCAACATAAATGTATCCAATTTACCAAATTGAATTTATTATCACTACATCTTACTAGCATTTATTTTATCCTCCAGCAAATTGGCTTGGCTCAGTTGGTTACCTCTTTTCTTTGGGTGAAAAGGTTCAATTCCCACATTGGGATTGAGCTCACAGGCTAGCCTGACAATACACTGCAGTACTGAGGGAGTGCTGCATTGTCAGAGGTGCAGTTAAACTGAGATGTAATCTATTCAGGTGGACATTAATTTGTGTAATTATGTAAAGCCCCTCGAGACACGGATAATGCTAAGGCAATTAAAAAATATATTTTTAAAACTGAGGGAATCTATTCCAGCATTGCTGGCTTTAAACTTTTGCAATAATATTGCTAACTGCATAATGTCTGTGAAATAATATTAACAGCATTAATGAATATGTACAAACCTGCTATTTCCTCTATGGTGCTCGCTCTCATGTCTAACATGACTGTTCCATTTAATATGCAGCTTCTCAACTCAAACAGACTATGTAAAGAGAGAGTAGCCACATAAGGTTTACTCCATCGCTCTCCTCCATCTTCCACATCCTCCTCAAACTTCAGCCATCTGAGATGAGAAGCAAGTCAATATATCAATAACATCATGGGATATAGTAATAACATTATGTGTAGTTTGGGACATATGTGCATGCGACCACCAGGAAGATGGAAGATAAACCAGAAGGAGCTTGGTCTTTTTTCGCCTAGCATTTCTTATGTTGTGTTATCCATATTTTGTACTGCATTATATTTGAGTATTCCCACAAAAAAAACTTGGAAGTTACTGGGGAACCATTACAATGTCCTCCAACATAACACTGCCTTGATTATAAGGTGAATGGATCATGGACAAAAAATTACTATGGACTCCCCATATGCCCCATTTCCTCCCCACTCCCCCGAAGTCAAGCAGTTGGCTAACTTTCTATGTTCATATGCAGCTCACTCCAGTGAAATCACAAACCTAGAAATGCTGGCTATTACATAAAATAATCCTTGCATTTGGTATAGCACCTTTCACATCAGAAAGACATCCTAAAGTGCCTTCACAGGATGTACTGTGAAGTGGAGTGACTGTTTTTGTGGCAGCCAATTTGCACACAGCAATGTCCTACAAACAGCCATGAAGTGAGTAACCAATTTTATTTAGGGGGATTGTTGGTCACACACTGGGAAAAACTCCCTTCTTTTTTTGAATAGTGCTATGGGATCTTTAACGTCAACATCTTTGACCTGAACAGGCAGATGGGATTTTGGTTTAACATCTCATCTGAAGGACATTACCTCGAACAATGCTGCAAATCCCCAGCGTTGCATTAGAATGTCAGGTTAGACTATGTGAGTTCAGGTCCCGACATGGGGCTTGAACCCACAAGCATCTTATTCAAAGGCAAAAGTGCTACCACTGAGCCAGACTTAACACACAAATCTTTAAAGCAGTGTTGCTTCAATTCACTAGCTATTCTCAGGTTACACATTCTGTGCTGCCATCAGCAATCATAAATATTTAACAGCATTGACACATTAGTGACAATTGCCATCTCATTAAGATATCCTTAAGCAAGTGTCATTTGGTGACCTGAACACTTTGCACCACTACTTTGTTTTCAAGGCAACTAGTAGTGTGTAAAAAAACTAGTTTCCAGACTCCAGGTGTCTCAAGACCCAGCTATGAATCAGATCTCCTATCATCTCTTGGTGATGAAAATCCATTTGCTTGGCTGTTTGTGTGACATTGTGACCCTAATTAGCTGCCATGTTCACCCACAGATACAAATACTTGGTGTTGAAGAGTTGAGTCTATCAAGTAGACCAAGCGACATCTTGCATGGAAGACGTCAAGATGTTGGCACATGCACAAATGGCATATACGTATGTGATCTCTGCAAACCAAATAATGGCTACAGAAACAGGAAAAAAGCCAGAGATAAAGTCAGGCCCATCTCCCATCCTCCTCTATGCATAAGGGAAAATTCTAAAAGCCACTTCTACATGTGCCAATGTCTTGATGTCACTGCAGGCAGCAAGACAAACAGTGTCCTGCTTCATGTCCCCTGCCCTATCAGCTCCACAGTCAGTAGGCAACCTTTCAGCCATGTTGACATGGAGTTCGGCTCAAAGGCAAATTCAATTAGCTAATCCAAGTAAAATCTGTTTGGAAAAAAAGGTTAAAACTCAAAGCACAAAAACGAAATATATCATTTTCTGAAGCCAAATAAAATGTATGTGAATCTGTGATGCGTGACCAGTTCATTAATTTCTACTGACGAGAAAGAATAAACAGCTTAAAAACATTTCAAAATTTCTATGAAAGAAAAAAAAGCCCTTCATACAAAGAGCACATATTAATCTTTGGTTAAGTGCCATAAACTACAGCTATCAACTTGCTCAAGGGCCACTTCGACACAAACATGCAAATAAGCAACTTCATTTGCTTTTTTAACATCAGCAAAAGCTCCCAGCAGGCAAGCTGCTCTTTCATTCTTTGGTGATCAACCCCAAAATGACAATTCAGATGGAAAATTCAGAATAGTTTCTGAATGCTGCATCCTAGGAACTTCCCTTGGATTATGATAAGAGTGAAAAAGGTGTTGAGCACCATAAGAACCTATGCAGCTACTTGTTTGTGGGAGCTGAGTTCAGTGGTGTCTCTTTGAAGGCAGCCCTCCAAACCCCTTTCTTGGATGGAGATGGCCTGTGGCAAATAGGTGAGAAAATATATATTCATCTCTTCATATCTGGAGTTTATCCTGATAAAATTGGATAAATTGTCATTGTGAGCACTGTTCAGCAAACTTCCCATGTCCACCATCTAGGATCACTCTATCCTCGAGGGCTTTGGTTTGCAGGGTTAACAGGGGGGAAGCAGGAAACATTATTGTAGTGTCCAAAACAGGATCTTGAACTGGATCCTCTGAAGGATAGGGAGCCAGTGGAGTTGGGCGAGAATGAGAGAGATGGGGTCACGGAGTTTGGTGCGTGAGAGGACACGGGCTGCAGAGTTCTGGATTATCTGCAGCCTGTGGAGAGAGGAGTTGGGAAGGCCGACAAGCAGGGCATTTGCATAGTTGAGCCTGGAGGTGATGAAGGCATGAACAAGAGTTTCAGCGGCCTGAGGGGTGAGGTAGTGGCGGAGTCGGGCGATGTTACGGAGGTGAGGGAAGGCAGAGCGGGTCATGGCTTGGATGTGGGGAAGAAAAGCCAGTTGAGGGATAACAAGACACCCAGGTTCCTGACTGCCTTGATGAGTTGAAGTGTACAACCATGGAGGTTGATGCTGCCAGAGCCTAAGGTGCAGAGGCGCTGACGATGAGCTGGACTGGTTGGTCTGTCATCTGTAGTATCTGCCTGCTCAAGAAATATACTACTGAGACTGCTACAGAGGGTTGACTCAATTCTAACATCCCATCGCCAAGCAAGTCACCTTGGAGCTAGCGCAGCCCCAAGAGACCCCATTTACCTTCCCTCTATTCTTCAAACAATGCAATCAAATTGTAAAGCTATTCTGATTGGCATCCCATGTTTTGCCCCTTTGATGTGAGTTGAAGTATTGGCTGCACTTTGTGTTTGGAGAGCAAGCAGCTTTAGCTTCAAATCCATATCAGTAATGGATCAGATAGAGGCTGGCGGGTTGAATAGATAAATGAACAATGTAGTTGTGTCAGAAGATTGCAAATAACCACACATACACATACAAAAACATACACAAACACAGTATATCTCACACACACCCGCCTCCTCCATATTCCAAATCACTGGCAATGCATCCAAAGAAGATATCGGGAAAATAGAACTACAAAATGTTTCAACAAACATGCTCATTTATGACTACTGAATCAAGAATGGTAGTTAACAAAAAGGATTGGTGGCAAGAACCCCACTGGCAGCAGATTGATCACCTTCCACTGCATTCTATGGAACTTTGAAAGATTTAACACTACTCAATGAACGAGAGCACTTTCTTGCTGAAATCATATGATCAACGTTAACTGCAAAAAAATTGCAAAGAATCAAAAATTACTGAGGAATTAAAACTGAAGAATTAAATTTGTTTTCTGGTAGCTTCAGCACGTACCTGGCTGTTTCTTTCCACTCACAGTCTTCCCCATCACGGAAGCAAATTTCATCCAGTTCTGTGAAGAGATCATGGGGCACGTGTTCCTCATCATCATCTTCTATTCCCAGGATAAACTGGACACGCTGAGATGGGGTATCTACAAAAAAAATCAAACCATTTCTTAACAATCTTGGTTGCAAATTCTAGTTTAAACTGTAAATAGTTTCCTTTAATTATACACACATCATCACATTGCAATGATTCATTACACAGTTCTTGCACTTTCATCATATCACAAACATAGAAACTACCTGAAAAAATAAACTGCATGCCGTGCAACACTCCACTGTACACTCCAATAACTTTGTTCACAGGTTTGGGTGGCGGTGGGGTGGAGAGAGTGAAGAGAAGGAATAAGGTAATTGTATCTATTGGTTAACCAATATAAATCTATTGGATACCATAAAGGTAGATGAGGGGCAGTGTATTAACATGGAGAAATCTGTTTATTTTGCCCAAGAAAAAACATTCGCTAGAGATTTAAGGGAGCTCTGAAATCCATAGCCATCTAAAAGTTATCTGTATTTATAGCCCATTGATCTTCTGCTGCGATAGTGACAAAATAACCGCAGCAGAACAATCAGGTGGAATTGGGTGTCACATTTCACCAACCTGTACACATTCTGCCAAAATAAGTAACTTAACAAGATTAAAGCTTAAAAGAAGTCGAGCCCTGAAAAAAATCTGACGTTGCTGATAATAGTTGAGAACTGCAGACTTTACAAAACCAAAACTCAGATTACTGGATGTCACTCAATCTTCAGTAACACCAAGTAAATGTTAATTTAAAAAAGGAAGGGTTATTTACACTGAAGCTCCAATTAAGCAATGACACACATTTTGATTATATTGCCTCTATATTTTAATGAAGTTTTCAGGACATTTCAGGTGGCCAATAGAGGTTTATAAAAATGTTCTGCTGATAAACAAGGAAAATGTCTTGTATAACTGACATTAAAAATTAATGTTTTTGAAAGCTATCTTTGCCCCCAAAACACACTTTGCTAATGATTTGCTCCAGTAACACGTTGTTCCATTTTTTGACAGAAGGCAAAAAAAAGCTGCTCTTCAAAGTCCTCAGGAGCCTCACCCACATGCCACTTCCCCACAAATAATAATAATCCTTGCATTTGACATAGAGCCTTATCACATCTTCTAGATGTCTCAAAGCGCTTCACAGAATATACTGTGAAGTGAATTGACTGTATATTTTGTGGACGAAACTCAGCAGCCAATTGCCCACAGCAGTGTCCCACAAGCAGTCGTGAATTGAGTGACCAAATTATTATTTTTTTGAAAGGAGTTTTTTTTCAAGGTTTTTTTTTAAGGATTATTATACGCCAATCGACTAACAACCGGACTCCTACTTGCTGCTGAGTAAATAGAGGCGTGTGGAGTAAGAGAACTTTGCCCAACGTTTCACCCTGCCCGGGAAGTATCCAGGTCCTCTCGCTTGCAAGGCGAGTGGTCTAACCAACTGAGCTACAGGACTCCACATGGCCATGGTTCAAACTCAAAACTTATCACTAGTTAAAACCAGAAAACTAGATGCAACATTAAGCATTATCATGCTTCATGCAGAACATTTTCAAGACTGTCTCTGAATTTGCAGTCTTGAACAGTAAGTACAGTGCTCCCCACCCACAGACTTTACCCCTTTCAACATGTTCTCACTTAGCAACAATATTCATGTACCAGAACAGCACTAGAACATTCAAATACTGTTTCAATAGCCATAGGAAAAGTGAAAAATATCAAATATATTTTTGTCCAAAGCATATTTTACCTTTTCTCCTCTTACCAGGGATAGGTTTCTCCTCCTAGCTCTTTCTTCCACTCTCCCAACTATCAACGAGACCGTGAGACCATTTTAATCAGAAGTGCAAAACTGTATACATGAGAAAGGAATAGGGGGATATGGGGAAAGCTGGAGGGCAGGTTTAGAATGGGTGGAGGCTCATTTGGAGTAAAAACAACAGAGCAGGCCAGTTAGACTGTTGGCCTGTTTTGGTGCTGTAGATTCTATGTATGTAAGCACATGTACAAACAGAATAGCTTTTGAAAAAGCTTTGCACTAAAAAACAATCCTTTCATAATTGCTAATACTGAATAGCCATTCAAACTCAGTCAATGGGAAGAGATTATGCTTACTGGGGTAGGATTTTGGAAAACAAAATAACTGAAGAGGTTATACTATGTGAAATGGCAGAGGTAGTTCATGCAGATTTTTGTATTTCATACAAATTAGCATGGCCAGACCAGAAACATGTGCCTGTGTGTCAGCCTGATGCAGTGATAGTCGCTGAGTCAGAAGGTTGTGGGTTCAAGCCCCAGATCAGGATTTGGAAGCACATAGTCTAAGCCGACACTCCAATGCATTACTGAGAGCGTGTTGCACTGTCAGAGTTGCCATCCTTCAAACGAGACGTTAAACAGAGGCCTCGTCTGCCTGTTCAGGTGGACATTAAAGATCCCATGGCATTATTCGAAAGAGAAGGGAGTTTCTCCCGCGGTCCTGGCCAATAACCCTCCAGATAAAAATGGCTGTTTGTAGGATATTGCTGTGTGCAAAATTGGCTATCACATTTCACCCACATAATAGTCAATCTACTTTACAGAATATCCTGTGAAGGGCTTTGAGACATCTTGATGACGTGATAAGGTGCTATATCAAATGCAAGGATTATTATTAATTATTAAAAAACTATAAGCTGTAAATTGTACTTCCACTTATTATTATTATTCAAAGCTTTGCAGCTCCATCTTCATATCAATCTAAAGTTAGTTGAATTATAGCTTTAAGATAAAAATTGATCACTACAGTTTAAAATACAATATGAATAACATAAACATTGATTAGTCTGCTAGTGAAGCAGTCTTGGGTATTATCCTGAGTGAGGAAAATTGCAGTGCTCGATTTTAAAACCCAGTGAGAATGCATGGCATTTTCTATCAGATTTGTTGGACAGTTGCTGCAGTCATCAGAATGTGAATGAAAGCGCTGAACTATTACATTGGCTGTTCCTGTTTAAATGTTCTTGTTTAGGATGCTCTAAAAAAGTAGCAAATTCATACTGCTTGAGTGATCATTCACAACATCTGAGCACTTCACAAAGATGGACTTGGATGCCGAACAAGTAAGGAAGGGAAGGGGCAAAGATGACTATAGGTAAGTTTGAAGAGGTAGATTTTTAGGTGGAATTTAAAGATAGCTAGAAAGGAGACAAGACTGATGAGTAGAGGGAGGTAGTTGTTGAAGGCTCAGCCACCAGCTCAAAGGGGGTTGGGAAAAATAGCAGATCCAAATTAGCCAAGTGAAGAAGCAAACAGAAAAGTGAGGTAGAAGAAGGTCACAGAGATAGGAAGGTACTACGGCATGAAGAAATTTATGTGAGCACCTTGAAGTCGATCCATTGGAAAACAATGGAACCTGGAGAGGAATGAGATATTGGCACATGGGATTGCTCCATTGCATGCCACAATTGTGTTTTAAGCTTTAACCAATAAATAGAATGAAGTGAATGAGATTTTTTGGTGGGGGGGTGGGGGGGGGGAATGTACGTGGACAAACATTATGACCTTTCAGTTTAAATCTGGTCAGTTGTAGAAATGTTCATGTATTACACCTGGTGTATTGCTGGATGTAAATATTGCACTCATAGAACTAGGATTTCAATAATTCTAAAACAAATTAATGGACCAACTGTTTTTTCAATAGTGCAGGACTCAGTACAGTAGCGTTCATTCCAAAGAAGGCAATCCACTCAGTTCTCCTCCCTGGTTCACCTTTTACTTCTCCTCACATGACTGATCCAGGCTAACGCACAAGAAATTGCATTCACATAGTACCCTTCATTCACACCAGGTAGTGTCTAGGAGCGCTTAAATCTACAACTGAACCGCAAATACTCACACGGTGAGTATTAGATAATGGGGGCTTAATTATAGTTATGTCAAAAAAACAATGATTACTACTTTTTGTATTTCAAGTCTTTTCCAACTGTAGATTCACAGCTGGTTATAGATCCTCCAACTGCACCCATGGTGATGGTGGCAGGATCTGTACAACAAACAAACATTCATGCTTAAACCATTCTGACAACATTCATGTTCACCTTCACATTTCTAACATAGAAAGGGGAGAAGCACGGAAACTTTACGGCAAATGAATTGAACTAACAAAAAAAAAGGGTTGAATTTATTTTAATTGTCTTGTATTCCATGTGTCTGTGAATAGGTGTCCACTTATCCTTCTCTCAGCCTCCCCAGAAACAAAAATTACCCAAGAGGGACACTACAGAATTCCCATTATGATTATCTCAGCAATAACTTCAGAACACATTCCCACACAATTCTTCAATTCATGTGAGGTGTAGGTAAGGCAATGGATCCGTGAGACTTCCTTCAGCTTGTTTGATTATTCTTAGCACCACATACTCTAAGATCCAGACCGGGTGACTGGGAGGGAGCAAATGTAGAAGATATCTGATTCAAAATAAATACCCTGCAGAATTTCACCCACAAAAATAGTCAATTCACTTTACAGTATATTCTATGAAGCGTTTGAGACGTCTCGACGATGTGATAAGGCGCTATATCAAATGCAAGGATTATTATTATTAAAATCTGTTTATTATTCTCAACCTGCTCCATACAATGCAGGATACTAACTGAGTATCCCTAGGAAGGGGAGGTCTTAGTCTCCCTACAGAAAACACAACTGCCAGGACTGACCTACTAAACATCCCATTTCCTGTGTTCCTCTGTTGAACGGAGATGCACTGCATTTTCCAACAAGATATAAACCTTCAGTGCCAAGTCTACACAAAAAAAAGTCTGTCGACAAATCCAAGGTTTTTTCTAAATTATCATGTCACAAGTGTCAACTTAATGAAAAAGCAATAATTATATTTGTATAGAGCCTTTCACATCAGGACACAGTCTTCTGAATTCAGCTTAATGTGGTGGCAGATAAAAGAAACGACAAGTTAACCTCTAAAATTGGTGAAAATGGGAAATTATACTGAGTAAAAAAAGCTTTAGAACATGACCTGTATATCTAGACATCACACTAATAAATTGCACGCAACCTGCAAACATGGAAACTCGTTGGGAGTCTTTTATCAATTATCCCTCTACCAAAATAATACCAGAAGACAAGAGCTGCACCTGAATATCAGGTGACTTCAACGTTGCCCTCATTTTCACCTTCTGCTACTGTTATTTAGGCAGGTGGTGGACTGAGTAAAGACTCCAGGCTTTCACGTGTACATGACAGGATAACATTACACAAGGTGTGCTGCAGGGAAACCCTCCCACTCCCACCTCCCCTGGCATGATGGCTGCACCAAGATGCTCATGGATCATCACTTAACACTTCTGTCTCTCAGAATACCAGCTTTACCCTGATTTTTTTTGTTCAGTTAAGCCAGCGTTGCACGAACTTTGTAATCAGAGGTCCAATGAGTGGAGCGGCATTTAATGTTGGGAGGAGGGGTGCTGCCTCCAGGACATCCAGGGACCAGACAACCTGTTAAATGGTGTAAGATCACTATATTCAAAGCACGTGTTAATTTAACACCATAGGCGAATAAAAAGTACATGGGGTATTCCTGACGGAGTCTACTACTGTATTCAGAATAAAGTAACCTCTTGATTTGCATTATCCCTCTGTTAGTACAAGGCACTAGCTTATATGAATTTTTCTAAATTAGAACAGCTTTGCATCAATTCAGCATAGGTTGGAAAGGACAAATGTCCTGTATATTTGCTGTGACCCATAGTAACTACTACTGAGCACTATTAATATTTCACTATATTTGTTTAGTAAATTTAGCCATTTCACTGAACAAATGTCCCTATTTTGGATCCTTGCTCCCAATTCCAATTAAACACCATACAATGGACAATAGATCTGAACTCTAAAGTCAAAAAATGGACCAATCTACAATCTTCTAAGTTTTTATGAATCATTAACACAATGGGGAGCATATTTATCCACTGGTTAATTACCACACTGGTGAGTGCATCTATTCAGTGTGAATAAGAAAGCTAAAACTGACAGGAGAATGGAAAACGACAAGATCAGCACCACCACTTACATGAGTTTTAGTGTCAGTTCCATTCCAGGTTTTCTTGTGTGGTCTTAATCGTAAATAAAGCTTTTAATCATTGGAAAACGGAACAAAATCCACAAAGTCGGAAGTAAATCTGTTTAGATCTCCATTCTAACCTTGGTTCTCAATTACTGTGAGCTTTTAGTAGTTCTTACCATATAATGGAGATTCTCGACCATCATCTTTATCACTTTCCTTATCTTTTCCTTTTTTTCGATGATGATGTTTATGTCCACGGTGTCTGTGGCGTCTTCGGCTCTGTCTACCAAGCGGTACATGTACCCCAATATACACAGCCCTGTGGCCTGCAAAGCAAAAACAGAGTAAGTCGCAAACGATTTGTGATAAAACTCACTGAAGCCAGCTATATCAAATGCAAGGATTATTATTATTATAAGGTTTGTAAAAATCGAGCCAAATGACAAAAGTGAAAAATAAACAGCCTGTTACACAGCGTGTATGTAAAAAAAAAGGGGTAAGAAGTGGACTACAATACAAAAAGTTGAAAATAATTAGTGTTGCCAGACAAACAGTTACCAAAGCACTAGCCATTCATTTCTTCTCACTCTTTGTGGTGCTCAATTTTTTTTCAGGTTTGACTGTCAAAAAAAAAATTAGCTCTCCTCTGGAACCCTCTTCTGAAATCTTTCCATCTTGTCCCCTCCCTCTAAGTTTTCAAAACCCATCTAATAGCTCTGACCTGCCTCATGTCCCTCACCTCACCCCACCATTGGCGGGTGGGCTTTCAGCCATTCTGCCCCCACCCTTCGGAACTCCATATCCCACAGTCCCTCCACCTCGCCCCCTCCCTTGCCTCCTTCAAGACTCTCCTCTTCGATGGTGCCTTCGGTCACCCTCCTTCCCCTCCCTGCCCTTCTCCCTTCCCGATCCCAACCCCCAGCTCCGGTATGAAACACGGATTGTCCAAAGTCTTGGGACGTCCTCCCAACGTGAAACGCGCTATACAAATCTAATTTTGTTGTTGTTCCAAAGAAATGTGATTTCCCACCTGCCTTGCAGCTTGCTATTCCACTCACTCTTGCAAAGCACTTTTGGGACCTTCACCCCATGTGAAAGACACTATACAAGTACAAATTACTTTATACTTTAAATCAGACATTCTCTCTTGCAGGATAGCTTATTGGAGAAATTAGTGTGTGTTAAGTAGCAAAAGGATTTATATACAATCTTTAAATACAATATTCCAACATAAACCCTTGAATACTTGTATGAAATGACAGCATTGGGTATATTAAAAAAGTTAAAGGATATTTTTTCAAAACAAACACCTAATTTTGAAAACTGAAATCTTGCCCCAGTACACATTAAGCAACCAAGCCTTTCACCTAAATTCAACTCCAGTCCGGACTAACGGACAAAAATATTAAGTCAATAGAAAGATAAGTTGCTAACTGAATTTAACAGTTTCAAACCAATTCAGACACAAAGGCAACATAAAATTGCTATCTCGCTGAATATGAGCGTAACTAGTGTGAACAACAGAATACCTCACACGGATGCAATAGTGAGTGGAATTCTGGCACACTGTTGCAGCAAATAGGGGGAAATTTACTCTCCCTACAGTGATATCTGACCAAAGAATGCCTGATACTAACACTGGGGAGCAAGGGAGATTTCCACTCCCCTGCACTGAGATTCCTAACGCTAACAAACACACATTCACTCAGGCTTTCTTCAATTAAAGTATCAAGAGATGGCCTGAGGATCACAGCCACCATCTCTTTCGTACTCATTTCCAAAGATAGGCTCTGAAACATGATGTTTCTTCAGCTAATCTAAGATTCTGGCACTGCCTGCTACTCCACTGAAACATGAGTGGCAGATGGATTTTAATGTTAATATAAGGCAATGGATATTGGAACAAGAATAAACATGTATCGATAATAAAGAGCATCAGTATTCATGGAGAAGGAAAAGGGTTTGGGTGGTGTTAAATGATCCTTCACCCAAGGTTTCCTGTCACTGAGAAGCTTCTGTCAACAAAGCTAATACTTTAAAAGGTTATAAACAGTATACATCACTGGTGAAGCCTCATTTAGAAAATTAGGTTCATTTATGAACACTTTACCTTCAAAAGGACAAGGAGAGCAGAGAACAAAATTACTTCCAGGACTTGGGTCTCTGCGTATGAGGACAGACAATTTATTCTCATAGGAAAACTATGGGGGTGGTGAGGGAAAAGGAAGACAGGATTAATTTTTACCTGAAGATGGTGTAAGTGGTCTTAAATCCGTGAAAGCAGAAGTAAAAGTCATATTTAAAATTTAAAAGCTTTAAGGTGAACCAAATACTGAATTTCAGGGGGGGGGGGGGGGGAGTTCTCAGGTATGTAGAACAAACTTCAACAAAGCTAACAATGTTACCAATGTTGCTTTGATAAGCTCCACTATAAAATAACTCGATAAGGTATCTTCTTGGGAACCGTAGAAACAAGGAAAGGTGTAGACTTAGATGAATAAATATCTGAGGAGATTGGATGGGCGAAGTCCACAACAGGCTAATGTTGCTTTCTCTATGGAAGGAATCATGTGATGAGAAAAAAGACCTAGAACATACACAATCTTTACAGTGTGTTCTGTGAAGCGCTTTGGGACGTCCTCCCGATGTGAAAAGCGCTATATCAAATGCAAGGATTATTATTATTATTATTATAATATCTACACTTTACAGTCAATTCTGAACAGCGTTTTGAGGCGTCCTCCTGACGTGATAGGTGCCATTTCAAATCCAAGGATATTTTTGTTTTTACTTGCTGCGTTTGGAGTTTACAAAGTTTGAGGATTTAAACAACAAAAATGTATGGAATGAAAAAAAATAATTCTTTGCGATTGAGCAGCTATGCATAAAGCTTTTCTCTCACAATTTACAAAGTTACCCAACACCTTAATAAAATGCCTGCCTTGTAATCACTACTGAATATCCATTTGTTTAAAGGAAGATAACCTAATCTGCAGTCTAATAATGATTTAGCTATTCTTCTAAATTGCAGACAAACTAAAGTAGCAACATCAAGCAATACAAAAGAGATTAAGGAATGAAGCAAGACTATGAATTAAGTGAAATAGTTATGTACCATATTAAACATTACTGAGCAGTTTCCATTGAGGTGGAAATTGTTTGAGGCAGATTTGCACTTATGTGACTCATAAACTGGCTTTGAACAAAAACATTTTGACAATGGTTTGCTTTTGGGCTTTTACAGATACAGAAATGTAGCTTTTTGAAAATATCCAGTGACAGAATATCGATAGTCACGATTCCACTTCAGAGAGAATCAAAACACTCAGCTATCAATGTACCTCATTATCCAAATACTCACACAATTATAGGAATCAACCTAATTATCCAGAAATGTGGGTGTGTTTGGGGCGTATTTTAGATAAAAATGAACTGGTGAACTTTAGTGCACAATAGCAGCTTCACTTATAAAGGAAGTGGGCTAACCCTGAAAAGAATAGATTGGAGGTATACAAGTCCCCAATTACACTTATAATCGTGAATACAGAAGACGGGAAGACAAAAGAAAGGAACTACAATCTTCCTGTTAGTCATTTAACATGAACATTTTCACAGCACTGAAAGAGAACACAAGTTGTACGTAAATACATAAAAAAAAATAAATCCACTAATTAGGTCAGTCTAATAACTGTCCTTCTCTGCCCTGTTCAATGGATTTGAAATTCTGGGTACCAGCTGCTTTAAACGGGACGGGATGGGGGTGGGTGGGATGGGGGGGGGGGGGGATTAGGAGAGTAAGTTACTCATACCAAACTGTGTCTGCCCATCACCTCCAGTCCTCAGCAGGCTCCACTGGATTACAGTGGATTGTTTTCATGGTGCTCACGGTCACCTAAGATCCATTAATCTTCTAGGACCTCCCAATCTCTGAGTTCCCACCCCTACCACTATCCCATTCCTCAGCTCGGAGTCTGTCCCAGACACTGTAAAGTGTTCTGAGACTTTATCCTCTCCAAAGGACTCTATATAAATGTAAGTTGTTATTACTCATTCCTGCAGTGAGAGCAACAGTACTCAATAATGCTGTCATGGATCATTAGTGGGATGGTATTTCAATATAATTAAAAATTCCCTTTTCCCTAAGAAGTATGCCGACTACTGCCATGTGCGAATATATGGACCCCAGTAAAGATGTTATTTGAATGAATAAGGCATGCTGGTTTAAATGAATCAGGGAAGAAGGAAAGAGAAAACTGTCTATCATGAGATCAGGCGTATTTTCATCATTCTATCAGTAGAATAGCATTGATATATTAGCATGCTTATATTTGCATGCAGTACAACAACAAAATTACACTTGTATATGGCCTTTCACGTCAGGAGGACATCCCAAGACAGAATTACGGACCCAAGCTGGGGGTCGGGGAGGGTGGAGGGCGGGGGAGGAGGGGGAAGCTGGGAGATCGAAAGCACGGTCGAAGAGGCGGGTCTTGAGATGGGTCTTGAAGGTGGCGAGGGAGGGGGCGAGGCAGAGGGACTGCGGGATGGAGTTCCAGAGGGTGGGGGCAGAGTGGTGGAAGGCCCGCCTGCCAATAGTGGGGTGAGTGAGGCGGGGGCGTGGGCGAGACTTCTAAGAATATTCATCAAAACAATCTCCTCCAACCTCCCCCATTTGCCTATGAGTTAGGGTGCCCATATTTTGTAAATCAATTTTGGGGGCATAAATACAAAAAATTGAACTCTCTACAATTTCTGATGCTGGCAGTACTGGAGAAGCTTGTTGGATTAATGGCGGTATTTCTCTGATGAGTGGATCGGTTTTAGAATTTTATTGTTCTCGCTGAACTCAAAACAGGGAAAATTTGGCCAGGAACACAATACTTCATCCGAGGAGTGCACCCAGCAACTGGGGACATTTGGTCACTCCATATGGGGTCAAGTCCTTTTAAAATAGCCTTGCCACAGCAATCTATTAATAAAGAAGCCTGGGGTCAACTTCTTGACATTCTGTCTCTGAAAGATTGGTCAACTGTTAACCTTTCACTAGGTTCATCAGATTAATTCCCTAAAACTTACTAGTGTGAAGGGGAACTTCCCCTCTACTTTAGGACTGGCAAATCTCCCTTCTTTCATTTGATGCCAATCCTGTAGCACCGGAAGATCCTTGACCAATTTAATTTTGATAGATAACCAAAAACACAGGTTAAGCACTAGGGAAGGAGGTACTTTTCAATGCTGTATGGAAAACAGAAGCACTTTCTAACTGATCATTCAGCAAGCAAATAGATCTGCGCTTGAGACTCTTTGCAAGTCCGGCCATCAAACCAAGAAGCTTCGACAACAGTCTTAAACAAGATTTTAAAACAAAATCTGTCAAGGACACAAGAGGCAAAAAACCAAGACGATTCTCAGCATTAGGAATCTTGAGGAAAAACCTGTTCACTTTAAGCAATTATTTTTAATTATAAACTTAATTATAAACTTGCGAACAATGGTAGACTGAGGAAGATGGCATGCAGCAACCCCATTAATCATGTGAGACAGCTCTGGAATCAAGCACTAATGTTTTCAAATGAACACATTTACAGTCCAAGTACTGTTCTTTAATTGTCCAGTATGTATTTGTAATATGCAACACAACTGGTTTGCTTTGCATAAATGCTCCATTTAGGCAAAAGAACAACAGAATGAAAAGTGCAGCAAAATAATGTAATGTATTTACTCTTGATAGATCAGTTTGTTAAATAAAGATGTTCACTGTCTCTGTGAAAAATTTGTTACTGTATCTTTACAAAATATACCAAATAAAACGTACAGATTTTATGATGAGAAGGGTATGCTTTTCAAAGATCTGTTATATTGAGATACATATGTAAAATATAATTTGTCCACAATCCCAATCATTCCACTCTGGGTTAAATGAACAAGCTCCTGTTGCTTCTCCTAAAATTGCGCTTTGTAAATCTAAGCTTATGTCTTCCCTTCTTATAAAATATAATCCTTGAACAATTTTTAAAAAATTTCCTTCCACTGTTCAATTATAATTTTGTAGAATCACTAAGAATTATTTAAAAAAATTAAAATCCTGGTTTGTATTGATTGTACAAACAAAGGAGACGAGTTAATTTTCTTAAGGTAACATGTTCATTGAATAAATAAGTCAATGAAGCACTGTTACTATTTAATGTAGCCATTTTGTTGACAAGTAGAGTACGATTAACAAATATAAAGTAGTTAACCTAGTTAGTTTAGATTTGATTCAATGCAAAGTCCTCGTAGTCTTATGGATACATAACAGTCTTCCATAAAATGCAGCTCCACATCTCTTTATATATAAAAACTGATTTTGTGAAGTACTATCTTGGCAAATGTACTACAAAGAAAACTGACTGCATTTTATATCAAACTGTGGAATAAATGTAGTTCCAAGTTATAAGAAACTTAAAAACCTAGGGAAAAGTTTTTCTTTAATGCTGATCATTCAAGATTCACTTACTTTCTAGCTCCTCAGTTTCAAAGTTTGTATTGACAACTGTACTCGTTTTACCCAAGTCCACAATAGCTTCTTCATCATGACGCTAAACAAACAAAAAAGAAATCATTAGCGCTCAGCATGTACAAACGTGACAAATTTAAAATTCAATACTCAAATACAAGATGAGGAGTGTATATTTTACAGATCAACACATTTTTTAAAAATATTGTGACTAACCAGATGGACTACTGTTTGACCCTGTCCAGTATTCCCATAAATTTTCATGTGGCATTTCTACTGCATCCGAAACTACACTTTACGAAACAATTTGTTTAGGAAATGGAGGAGAAGAAATTGCATCTTGCAACAAGTGTCCCATTTTGGATTCCCAAAACAATTTATGAATAATAAAGAAAAACCAACAAGGTTGCTTTTAGACTGCAGTATTCCCCCCAAAAGGTATGTTGTCAAAATTGCAGCACACATACAAAAATATATTAGTTTTGATATAGTGGATACATAACTTTCAAGTCCGAGTGAACCCAAATGATCCAGGCATAAACATTTCCATCACAAATTGCAATTCACAATTGTCAATTCCAACATCTTCAGCAAAAGGAAATGCTACCCAAGCATTAAGGGCCCTTTGGGACTCCCCATTATGTAGCAAACTAATCAACACATTTTGTAATATTTATTGAAGACTGTTTATTCATGGACTTTTTCCAGTGTCACCTCCCATTTCCTCAAGGCGTTTGTTCGGTTCCCTCCTATTTTTAAAAATAAGTGATGTAGTTTCCTTAGCCACATTGTGAAAATCTAGAACAAGATTTAATTCTTATTAAATAACCCAAATGAAAATCTGAAAATTGAAATCCAAGATGTGTACAAATTCTAATCCTATTCTAACCTGTCAAATTAAGTAGTGTTTATTCCCATACATCTATCACAAAACGACATTAAATTTAAAATTGATTTAATAACTTACAAGACAAATTTACATTTATATAGAGCCTTTCACATTGGGAGCAGGGCATTGGATAGTCTAAGGTTTGCACTTGAGCTGGGTGTGTGAGCTGAGGAAGGGGATGGGGGGGGAGATAGGAAGATAGCCAAAAGCACAGTCAAAAAGATCTTGAGGCAGATCTTGAGGGAAGGCAAGGAACCAGTCAAAGGGACTCCATGATGAAGTTCCAGATTGGGATCAGATACTCTGAATGCCCAATTGCCAATGATAGAGCAGGGGATGTGAAGCAGGCCAGTGCCCACTGAGCAAAGGGAGCTGCCAGGTTAGTAGGGTTTGAGGAGGTTGCAGAGATAGATGGTTTAAAAGTGAGGCGGGATTTAAAGGTTGGGATGAGGATCTTGAACTCAATCCAAGGGTGGATGGGGAGCCAGTGGAGTTAAGTGAGAATTAGGTGATAGGTTTGTGGAAAGAACTTTCACATCTTTTGCTCTAACTGAAGTATGGGCTAAATCTGTGCTACTTATTGGTGAATCATTAATAATAAATGCTGGTGGGACATTTATTGTACGTGTTTGAATTATTTTAAAAGATGCAAATATTAAAAGAAATACTTAATTTGTGGAAATGGGCAAACAAAATCTACCTCTATTGCAAGAAATACAACATGTATACACTACAGTGGCTCAACCCAGGCAAGGAGTCAAATCATTTCATCAGCACAGTTGCCCAACAGTAATACACACTCTGAAGTTGTGAACTCCAGTTAAGTCATTCTATTTTAATGGAAGCATAAGTTTACATCATGCCATGGGATTCTTTCCCAGTTACACACACTACTGCAGACTGTCCATTATAGACACCAGGTTTAGCAACTATCTGAATATAGCAAGGAATCAGAACCTCCATGTGATCAAAGCCCAAAGTCCTATCATGCCACATCTTAATGTCTCACAGAAATTTATCTCAGCATTTTATTTGCCTGTTGATTTAATGAGTAAATAAATGTACTGCCTGGCACTGTGCCATTCGATATCATGAAAGGTCACAGGTTTGATTTTTATCTCTGTTGCATCAGAGTTCTTATCCGGGTCAATGGTCTGGCACAGCTGGTGCCATTGGTTAGAGAACGGGGTGGAGGAAGAAAATCAAGGCAGCGTGCTTCCATCTGGTTGCTATCCAGTGATCATTGCTGAAAAGCATATATGCATATTAGATTAGAACAGGGTTGGGCTTGGCTGTGACTCATGAAAGAATGAGTATTGGTTACCATTCTCGAACGCAAATATCTACTGGGACATACCGGAAAAATACCGTACCCTAGAAAGATTTAGTGCTTTCAAGCCAATTTTTATTAATACAAAAATTGTGTAAAGACAAAATGCAAAATACTGCAGATGCTGGAAATCTGAAACAAAAACAGAAGTCACTGGGAACACTCAGCAGGTCAGGCAGCATCTATGGAGAAAGGAAAGTGAGTCAACGTTTCAGGTCCACGACCCTTCGTCAGAACTGGGAGGGAGAGGGCTAACGGAGAGGGGGGAGGCAGGACAAGGAAGACAAAGGAGAAAATGGGGCAGAGGAAAGGGGATGATGCCACTTCAACTCTCCACTCCCACTCGCACTCTGACCTCTCCATCCACGGTCTCCTACATGTTCCAATGAGCCACAGTGCAAGTTTGAGGAACAACACCTCATTTATCTGCTCGGGACCTTACAGCCCTCTGGCCTCAATATTGATTTCAACAATTTCAGACCATAACAGTTCACTTTCCCCCTCCCCCTCTTCTGTGATCATTACCACATCTCTGGGTCCCTATACACACCTTTTCTTTCTCTGGTCTGCCTATTTTGTTGCAATTTCCCCCCCCCTTTGTTTTGCATTATTAGCACCTCTATTCCCCTGTTTTGTTGCAATCCCTCCCCCCACCGGTTTTGCATCATTAACACCATTTTAACCCATCTCCCCTGTCCTCTACCCCTTTTTCTCCATTGTCTTCCTTGTCCTGCCTCCCCCCTTAAAAGCCTCTCCCTCCCAACATGCTCCAGTTCTGATGAAGGGTTGTGGTCCCAAAATGTTGACTCATTTTCCTTTCTCCATAGATGCTGCCTGACCTGCTGAGTGTTCCCAGCGACTTCTGTTTTTGTATCGTGTAAAGATCCTTGTATCCAGCAGACTCCAACACAACAGTAAAGTTCTCCATTTTCAATCATTTTCAAACAGCACAGCTAAGCTATATCAAATGCAAGTATTATTGTTATAATAATTATTACTTAACTAGAATCGCAGCTACACGCTTTCAAATTCCCATGCTATGACGAACAGTTATATTAAACTCATTCTGTACCAGGCTTATGACACTCTAATGGAAAGGATTTCCAAGGACAGTCATAAATAGATCCTTGCACAAGAAATAGGTTATTTGAAATTGCACCGGAGTACATAGAAATCCCTTTGAAAGCTTTTAAGATTTCAAATATTAAAAATCCTTTCAAATTAAATTTTTTTTAAATTTATACTATTACTTTTTCAAAAATAATTCTTATTTCTCCCCTATCTACTTGGGTATGGATCGACAGCCTGCAGGCACCTTTGGGACATCTTCCAAGTCATCATTATTCATGTGTATTGGGACGTCCTTCTGACGTGAAAGGTGCTACACAAATGTAATCTTGTTGTTGTTGTTGTGTAAGATGACACTCAACGTGATAAACTACTGCAGCCAAAGCTAATCCTAACCACACCCAACACCTACAACTCTGCCCCTCGCATGAGGACCTGGATTAAGCAGCTGGGCTTGGACCTCGAGAACATCAAGGCAGCTGGCACATCACAAGCTTTACTATAAAGTTCCTCCCACCACGCTGAAGGCAGATGGCTGCAAGATGGCCGATGAGGAAATGTGTGCCCAAGCTGCGGACAGGAAGATGGTGGCATGTCCTCACGCATTTCATGCTGAGCTCTGTTGCCCTACGGGAAGCTCTCAGGGAATTCCTTGTACCTACCATTAACCATGCTTGTCAAATGTCAAACAACCAACTAGAGACGATTCTCTTTGGGGGTGAGGGAGATAAGCGCTCCAAGGTGACATGTTTGGCAACAGAATGTCGGAATCGAGTCAGCCCTCTGTGGCAGTCTCGGAAGTCAAGTTCCTCAGCCAGGTGGGTCAGGAATACTGCAGGTTAACCAGCCTGGCTCATCAGCAGGAGTTTTGAAGTGCAGACCAGTCACTGAGGGCAGAGAATCATGCCACTCAGCTCCAGCAACTTAACCCTGCAACTCAATGCCCTAATGGGTTGTGTGGTGCTAGCTGAACAAGCAGCAGGAAAGCTTATCAGACAGCGATATCAAGGGCAAGCTATGCAGTTTAGCTGGTTAGACTCCAGCAGTACCCCAACGCACACCCTGGGGTCCCCAAGCCTCGGCTCTTGCCAAGCTTTCCAGAATTATGTAAGTAGGATGATTCCCTCCAAGGAGAGAGTGCACATTCCAACAATCTATCTCTGGAATTTCCATGTACAGGTGCATGGGATACTCAAATTGGTTTGGAAACTCTTAAGTAATGTGCTGGGTTTCCACATGTGCCAGAGGCTTGGCTAACCCCGCCACAAATATCCACACCTCTACATAGTGATCAAAAGCAGCAAAATTGGCGGACTTTTCCTTCCCTAACTCTGCAGAGGACAATTATGATGCTCCAACTGCTGTTCATTCTGTTATTCAGCTAAACAAGTACAAGTCAAGATTCAAACCTGTAATCTTCAAGCACCACCCCCTGTAATACCCAGACCAGGGATATAGCATTGTCCCCAAAGCATTGAGGAGTATATGTTTGTGGCTTACAAATCCATCACCTTACAAACACCCAGTGTCTCTCCCGACCATACATCACTTTCAAAGTACTTATAAAAACAAGTTCACTTAAGATTTCATAAATTAATACATCCAATTTTGAACTCAAAAAGCGTTTTTTGTAAAGCAAGATGCTTTCAGGATTTAAAATGAAACTCACCCAGACACCAAGCAGAGTGTCAGACAATGGCACTCATCAGAATTTCGACTTGCTACGTTAAGCAATTGAAAAGGAATGGTGGAGAATCAATAAGATCTTTCACCTCGCCTCAGAAATTCAGTTAAG